GTTACAGTGGCTAATATTTGAAAAAAGACCATACACAAGAAGAGTAGTATCAATATCTATATGAAAACATTATGTTTACAGAACATTCTTTATTTTCTTACTGACCAACATCAGGCTAAATCCACAAGTCAAGCAGTCTGCAGTCTTCATGACTTTGGCTTCTGTCTGTGTGTGTTCGATTATGGGGGATTTGATTAATTGACACTTAATTTTTACACTCTTCTTTGACTCAAACTCTTTTTCAACTGAGAGTAAAGTTTCAGAGATAGTTTGACTCCATCCACAGTGTAATTAACTCTGCACTTGCTGACATTTCACCAACACCAAAAATGTAACTCTTAATATTGCTGTGTAATAGAAATGTGATTTAAGCACCAGACCCAGATAAGTTACTGAAGATAAACACAAAACAAGAAACATATTATAGTATTTTATATTGTAGTATACTACACAACATAGAAAGGCTATTTCTTTTGATTGATCTTTTTCGGATGGCAATTGTTGAGTCTTAAGCGGGGTCAACAGAGGGAGTTTGGGGGCCAGACTGATGTCAATCACAACATGATCTGATAGCCTGCCCTACAGTCTTGAGAGCTGGTCTTAACTGGAAAAACAAGCAACTAAACTGTAAACAAGGTTTTTCAATGCTTATGAATGTTTATTTTTCAATCTGATTCATGTGAAATCTTAACAAGATTCTCAGCTTTGATATCATATATAAATTGTTCCTGTTTCAGGCCAGTGTTCCAGAGGCTTTGATTGTCTTCACTTGTGTCTACAGCTTATGTTGTTTAATAAATCAAACTTTGCTTCCAGATAAGAAATCAGTTTTGATTTTGTTGTTTCTTTTGCTGTCATGTTGAACACACTTGTGTTTCTCATGCCCGACAGGCTCCATATTTCCAGCATACAGACCTTCAGAGACGGTCTTCAAGATCACCTTCTGGCTTGGTTACTTCAACAGCTGCATCAACCCCATCATCTACCCGTGCTCCAACCAAGAGTTTAAGAAAGCTTTCCAGAGTTTACTGGGAGTTCACTGTCTGAGAATAACTCCCAGATCACACCATCATCATCTGAGTGCAGGTCAGGGTCAAGCACAGGGTCCCAGCCAGACCCTCTCGCTGGGCCTGGACAGCAGGGGGGCTGCCTCTCGTCTCAGTCCCTCCTCCTCTTTGGCCCTGTCCAGGTCCCCGTCCTCCAGGGACAGCAGGGAGTGGAGGGTCTTCTCTGGAGGCCACACAGGCGGGTCTGGACCATCTGAGACAAGCAGGGATAAAATGGCCAAACTCCAAAAAAGCTTTAATCGGAACTGCTGCTGCTGCATCCTTGGTGATGCAACTCCCCCGCAGGACTCAGACTATGCCCAGCCCCCTAATGTTCCCACCATTAAAATACACCAACTGTCACTGTCAGAAAAAGGAGAGCCTGTATAGCTACTGTAATCCTTCATCCATTAGTCATGACTCTACTTTCAAGGTCATGGATGAGAATGTATGTCCTTTTTTCTCCGTTCATTTCACAGAGGATAAGCTGGATTGAAACCATGGCTGCTTAAAAATTTAAAGTCTCTGCTTGAGTGTCATCTGTGATTTTTCCTAGATTTAAGATGATCAAAACTCTGCAAAGAAATTTCATAGCCAAGATATTTTACTCCTTAAAATATGGCATCTTAGGTTTTTTTTTAACAGAAGATATTGCATTTTGACAGTTTGCAAATAATTACAGTCAAATAAAGACCCTGTGAAACCTAGGCGTAAAGACAAAAATCTGTAGACCAAAAAAAAAGACCAAAATATCTTTAATGTTTACATATTTTATATAACCGAAAAGCAGGTTAAATGTGTAAAAAAAAATGCATACAGGAACGTTTTATATTGCATGATTTCACCAAATGTTTTCAAAATGCTGGTCAGTGGTGCTCCTGATGTCTCCAAAGTTTGCCTATAATGCTGTTCCTGTTGTCAAAATATTGTATGTGTACTGCTGTGTACACATAAAAAAACAGGGGATCTTGTGTACTTCTATGTCACACTACAATAAATTTGTATGACATATTCCTACAAGGGGATTCATGGGGACATTTTTAGACCGTAGATGTTGATTCACTAAATAGCCCCTGAAAACGTCTATTTCATCTCTCCACACTCCCACAATACCATGTACTGTATACCTCCAAGCTGTGCCAGATGGGTGTCTTAATATACTTCTGTGGAATTTTAGCTGACCTTGTGGTTGCTGACCTCAATCCTGCCCGGCCCCGAAGCCTCTTAAAAAAATCCACCAGATTTAGAGATGTCAGTATAAGTCATACGCAGAGATTCTTCTCCCAAGCCTTTCGCTTTCTTCAGATGTTTTTAACTGCCATCCACACAGAACACACAGAGGCTTTTATCTCTGCTTTTATACGATTGTCTGTGTGTACAGGTGCTCTTTGCAGGCGGGAAGGTGAAAACGGAGTGTGTTGAGTGTGAGTTCAAGCCTGCGAAGTGTCTCTCTTTGTTTACCAAGAAGCATCAAAGGGCAAGAGGACAAACCTCAGCCAACTCTATTGATTTATTTCGCCCTTTCTACCCCTCCCGTAGTACCAAGATGTAGCCTACTCTCTCGGTGAGGTTGGAGAGATGCAGCCGGACTTCTTAAGCCACTCTCTGCGTGTTAAGTTTAGTCGTGGAAGTGAAGTGGACAGCAATCCCGCAGGGGAGGCACCCGGCGGCACAGTGAGAGTGCTCGTCTCTGTCCGCGTTGTCATTGACTGGACTACAGTGAACTTGTAAATCACACCATCTCTGCACACATTAGAGGAGCTGCAGCAATAAACTACAGATGGTACAGATGACCTAATTCACCCCTCCCTTTCTATTATCTCCATCTATAGAATGTGGTTGGACAATGATCAAAACAAAATCCAGTAAATACCTTTGTGCCCTGTGTTATCAAGAAATCATCCCCCAAATGCAATAGCTGTTATGAATACCATAATTAGATCTGCAACGCTGCAGGAACAGAACAAGAGCAAACCCCATGTGTTTTACCAGCCCGGCCTGTCTTTTTTTAAATTTTATTTTTTTTATCAAGCAGCCTTTTTTTAATGTTTCACATAAAATCATCAATACATGTTAGCCCAGATTATTTTTCTGTATTTTAATATTCTAAAAGATGAAGATTACACAACTGAGAGGCTACAATCCTCGACCCCACGGGAGAATAAATGTTGTCATGAATTCTTTCATTTCTAAATTTATGTTTGTGACGATGTTGTGGTGAAAAAAAATATCAATTCTTGGAAGGATTTAGTTCTTACAATAGCAGAGCTTGTGTTCTAGTGAGTTGAAGGCATAGCGAGTACATCTGGTGACTCATGTTTGCACACTTTTCCCAAGAGGGCTTAGCTTTAGTAAGTCGTCCTGATGCTTTTTCTCTTCTTTCTGAAAGCCCTCATCAGCGGCTGAAGATGATGACATTATAGGACTCCCCCTCTCCTGTTTAATCTGTGTGCTCATCATGCTTCGTTCTAATTGGACGGCTGTCAAACAGCCAGGGGGGGAACTTCACTAATCACAGAGCTGTTGTTGATGTGTGCATCCACTGTGACGTTGTCTTGCTCAGTTCATTTTACTTGAAGCGTCCCTGTGGGTGAAGAGTCCAAGGAGCTGGAACAACAAGGTGCTGATCAGAAGCTTGAAGCTGGTCACTCAGCTCTGTGACTCCACCTAGTGCCTCATTGCATCTCTGCACTTACTGCATGCAATGCTGGCATGTGGGGTTACACAGCAAAACAGGAGTTTCACTATATGTCTAACTCATACGTCCATAATAAAGCTGTAATGTCTGTGAGTTCATTCTTACAACTGGACACAGTTGTCTCAGTAATGCAAATTGATTGTTAGTGGGACAGAGAGAATCTTTCCTCAAGGGTTGAACAGAGATTCAAAATATTTACTCAGCCTAAGTAATAGTAGATTTACTTCAGTAAAAGAAAACACTGTAATTTTAAAGTTACAGTAAACTTAACTAAGTGTATATGTAAAACTATTCATGATGTAGATATGACATATCATTAAGGAAACCTTAAAAATGTTTCAAGATATATCTATACGAGTCAAATACTTCCCCGACATCGTAAAGTTAACCGACTTTAATTAGGAAAGAAAAAGATCTTGTTTGTTCTATTTCTAACTGCCTCATTGAAGAAAAAAATTAAATGTATGATTGTTCAAACTTCAGTAGTAAAATTACTGCAGGTTTACGTCACATCAAGGTTTTTGCTGAGTGAGTAATCAAGGTACAAAATGTCCACACCAAAATGGTGTTAGTTACATATTGGAGGTCAGTCTGCTTCCAAAGTCACTCACATGATTTTGTTGCAATTCGAGCAGAATATCTTCTCCCACATGAGAAGATGAACTTTAAACTGTCTTCAAGCGCCAAGTAGAGAAGCTGTAACAACCAGGTGATGGGAAACAAAGCAACATCTTTTGTTTAGACTATAGGAGTTCTGATATTGGACTATTGAATTCTTATTACTGATAAATAACTGTGCAGTTAACACTTTATTTCTGTAGCCCTGAAGAGGTTAGTTAGTACGTCAACTATTTTATAAAGCTGTGTTTGTGAAACCTCTATCTGCAGAGAAACCAGCAGCTACAGCTGTCACATGTAGAGGTTATCATTGTGTGGAGGGAATAAGTCGTCTAAAATAAAGTACAGTACCTTTATATATGTACTGAGTTACTTCACACGAATGCTTTTTTACAATAGATCAGCTGACTGTAAAAAGATAATTTATTCAAAGGTAAGAATATAACCAGGGTTTTAACTGAGATTAATACTTCTTTAATGGAAAATCCTTATAAATCCAACAAAATTCACTAAACTATTTTCACCTAAAATAATTACAAATGAGGACATTATCATAGTGCTTCACCTAAATTCTATATACGTAACGTAGTCATTTATTTAAAAAAAACAAAAAACAAGAAACAGACGATGACACGAGCCTCATTTTATCATTTTAATCCACTGAGGTCAACACAGATATGGTCAAATGCTGACAGGACCGATGATGATTTCCCCATAAAACCCTGATATCCTACAGAACATACATGACTGAGAGAGTATCACACGTGCTGCGAGAGGGACGACAACAGTGCTCAACATCACAACTCAACAACCATTACTAAGAAACTTCCCCGAATGTAAATCACTTCACATTATAGCTCACCATACGAAACCTACACTTGACAAGGCAATGAGGAAGAAATAACCCAGTGTTTCACCGTTAAAAACTGAAAACCCAATGCTGTTTGGTGACTTTCTACAGTTACTACCTCGAGTGTGTCTGGTGTCGGGGAGGGTAGAGGGTCTGGGGGTATGAGAAGAAAAAACTGGATATCTGGTAATTCATTCACAACACTAACACCGAGTACAGTGGACACATCATCAGCACGCTGTGACGGATTTCATTTACATACCACAAGATTTTTCATCAGGTCTCAAAGATCATGGTTTCACTTCTTTCACGAGCCTTCATAGATACAGTGTGCTATCAATATCTTACAGAACAGGCAGGCAAGTAGTTCAATTCAACAAAAACATACAGATATATCCATTACAAAGAAAAAGTTGCAAGCTCACAGACATTTTTTTTAATGTTTGGATTGTTGCAGGTGCGAAACAAATCATGTCAAACATTGGTAATGTGACTCTGCTCTGGCTGACATGACTGCCGGGTGGAGTTAAAGATATCATCTGCACAGAAACAGCAATACTCATATAGCACCAGGTGCAGAGAGGTTGTCCACTAATCTCCAATCTATCTTCTCCTTCGTCTGTTTTCTGAAAAATATACACCATTTGAGCTCTCCGAAGCTTGCTGCCTTCATAACCTCTAAATAGACGTGAGGAAAAAATAAAACAATGAAATGAAGGAAACGTTTCATGTTTCTTGGACTGAAATGTTTCATGCCAGCAGATTCGTCCCTCATATTCAGAGCTAAGCTGAATGATTGAGAGCTTTTTCCAATATGACTTCATGTGATAACAACATTATTAATCTTTTAAAAGTGCAACAACAACATAAAAGGAAGACCAAGGTGAATTGTTCAGCTTTTCACACTACTTACACAAAAAAATACTGCAAACCTCAGATAAAACGAGCTGTTATGAAATGAAGAAACCATATTGTTAAGTCTAATATTTCATTTGTTTTTTCTGTATTATTTCTGTATTCAAGCAACAATATTTTAGTAAAACAGTGTTACAAAATGACAGACTGAAGGTGGTGCAGTAACAGCACCACCAGAAACATTAAAACTTATATCTGACTAATGAACAGAGTGTTAAGAAAAACGGAGTTTCTGACATGCCCGCTGAAACTGACAACTCTCAGAGCAGCGAGGGCAAATGAACAGCTCAAATATTTGCAGCAACAATTATACAAAAAAATGTAAACAAATTCATTAAATCAGTGATCATACTGGTCTTAACAGCAAAACAATCTGCTTCAATTCACATGATCCTTCCTTGATAGTGGAATATGGCAGGAAAGACAAAAGGGTGGAATAGTGAGGTCGTTTTTTTTTTTTTGCATGAGGTGACAAAATGGTGATGTGTGAATGAGAATGGATGGAGTACTTGTGGGTTGGGTGCAGGGGGAGTCAGAGGTGACCAGATGTGATGTGACAGCAGTAGAAGTGACCTCTGGTCCCGTGTTTTTCCTGCATCCCCCGGCTCAGTTAACAAAAGAGCTTAGCCAAGGCTGGTGATGTTAGCTTTTCCACCAGGGGGCGCCACAATGCGCTGAGTGTTGCGTCGTGGAATGTTGTCATCAATTTGGGCCCCTAAAAATTCAGATTACATCATTATTTTAATCGTTTGCTGTAAATGAGGAATCCAGCAAAAATGAAATGTGTCCTTTCACTCACCAGACAGACTGAAGCCGGACTGGTGGAGGTTGCGCACCGGCTGCTGAGTTGACTGCTGCTGTTGCTGCTGCTGCTTGGCAGGAGAAGTCTTCACTGAGGTGACTGTGGACATCACTTTAGGAGTCACAGTCACCTCACACACCGGCCCGTCATACTGGCCTCTGGGGACTCCGCGCAGCTCTGTAAGCTAATATACATACAGAGCAGTTCATGTGACCATAACCAGTTTAGCTCACAAGCTTCACTATTTTGCATCAATTTATTATTTATCATCACATAACTTCTGATGCTCTGTGGAGACACTCCATTTGTGAAATCTGCATATGTAAACAAACTATAAGGTACCAATCAGCCTAGCACTCAAATCAGTCCAGAGTCATTACCAATAAAGTATAAGATTGGCGAGTTTGCCAACATCCTAATGGTTTTACTAGTGAAATGGAACACACTTTTAATTTTGATATTAACCTATTTTAGCTGGAAAGGGCACATTGATGGAGTCAACACGATTAATTTATTATGAGCTTCCTGACAGAAAAACACACTCTCCCTGGTGAACTCCAGCCAGCGAGCTGAATTCTTAATTAAACAGAAAACGCTATATTTAGTCTTAATAAATCCGCTCTTTATACATGAGCTACAGGAATAAATAAAAACAGGGTGTCGACCTAAAGTTCAGCTCAGCCCTGCGCGCCACAACTCACCCTGCTGCGAGCCTTTATCCTCTTGTACACGTGGTCAGAGAAAGGTTTGCGGCTGATGTAGCGTCCACAACCCTCCGTGGTGTGAAAGCTGCCCTCCTCCAACACAATCTTGCCCTGGCTGATCACAACCACAGGACCTCCACGCACTTCTGTGCCCTCAAAGATGTTATACTCCACAGCCTGGAAGGAGGGAAGATGTGATCAGGATGCTTTGAAAACCTTGGGATGTTGAGTGTACCCATCATAGGAAATTTATGGTTTTAATAAAAAAATAAAAAAATAAAAAGCTTTTATAGTTTACATTTTTGTTATAACCCACTCAGATTAAACAGAACCCACAGCATGAAGCTAAACACTGTTCAGTTTTATTTACATTGAGGAAACTGTACATTACATAAGATTAAATAAGATTATATAAAAGCACATTTTCACCAATACTCTATGTTATTAGGTGTAGCTAAAAATGTCTCAAAATGTGAAGGAATACAATATAACTAAAGGTATCTGACCAGGTTGTGGCTCTTGGCTGAAATGATCTTGGTGACGTCTGGGTCCCACAACACAAGATCAGCATCAGAGCCCACAGCAATGCGGCCCTTGCGGGGGAACAGGTTGAAGATCTTTGCTGCATTTGTGCTGGTCACCGCCACAAACTGATTCTCATCCATCTTACCAGTCACCTTTTGAGACAGGTCAAAAATGAATCAATAGATTCTAAAATCACACAAAGGTTTCAGGTGTGTTTCATGATGGATATTGATGGAATTTCTGAAAAGTGGATCACATTGAACTCACCACACATTTGTCCCAGATTAGGGACATCCTCTCCTCAGTTCCGTTGGTGCCCTCTGGGATAAGAGTGAAGTCATCTTTGCCTATTGCACGCTGAGAGGTCTGGAAAGTGCAGTGAGCACTACCAGTCACCTGCAAGTCCCCACTAGATAAGACAGAAAAAGGAAAACAAATAGTTTCTATAGCAATAGGATTCATCCTCGACAAATCAATTTTCAAAAAACTTTATCTGCGTTTATCTGCTTGAATGAACTTTTTTTAAGTGCATAATAGTAAATGTCACTTAAATGGACTTGCACGATCACAAAAAGGGGTTAACAGACTGAAAATACAAACACACAGCAGTAGCACATGTCAAATTATGTTCCAGCTATCTTTAGGCTCCAGCACAGAGCACGTACCATGACAACAGAGAGTTGAGGTAGTCGGGGGTTGTGGGATCAGGACTCAGCGGCGGAGAAGTGACAAAGGCTGCAGCCTTGGCCCAGTTCTTGCTCCAGTAATGAGTACCATCTGTACCCAAGCTGGCAGATATGGGCTCTCCGTAAACCACAGCACCTACAAGAGCACACAGGAGGATGTCAGAACTAAAAGTCAGACAGATACAGGGGAATGTGGACAGTACATTTGAAAAAAAGTTTAAAATAGGGATGCCAAGAAACCAAACATTCAAACCTGGATATGATACAAGTATAGAAAAACAATACTCAATATCTATTTTAAAAGCTTGCTACAACACATTTATTTTTTCAACCTGCACTTGTAAACTATAAAAATGTTGCTTATGGTTGTATGGGTTGTTCAATAACATTTGGGGTTCTTATATTTTTATAATCTTTTTCTGTTATTCATGTTGTGTTTTATGCAAATCTTGTGCAATATGGGTAATGTGCAATGCACATTGTTGTTTGTGTTTTTTCTTGGTATGTGCTTCTCTGTTTAGTTGTGGATTGTTTATTTATGTTGTTTGATCTATTTATTCTACTGTGGAGGTAGTTAGATGTGTGAAGCACTTAGTCAAAGTATTGTTTCGTTTTGTTTGGTATCATATTGTATCGCATCATATAATAATGACAGGATTAAAAACATCATAATGAGAAATATTTTCCTAAAAAGGAATGCACATAATAATCACTTACTAACTAGAAGTGTTGTGATGTTTGTATCTGCCCTCTCTATTCTACTCATGAATCAAAAAATGTAGCAACATGTAGTTACATTATCTCGCTCTCCCTCTTCGGCTCTTTTCTGCCTAATAATAAGCTACAGGCTGGACAGGTAATATAGCATAGCGGGCATTTTCTCTGTGGCCCGTACCACTTTGGAGCAGGTATGACTTCATCTTGGATTTATTTTCTTCCTGGGATTGCTTATCACCAGCCCACATAGTAGGGTCACTTGCCCACTGGTACAGTTCACTCTCCTTACTATCTTTGTAATACTCACCACTGCTCACCCTTACTCAGGTCTGTTTAAACGTCTAATTGTGAATATGATTCAGAAGTCTTCTTCATATTCTATAGAATGTAAAATGTTAAAATCTCTCCTTACCCTTTTTCCTGGCGAGGGCAATCACATCAGCAGCACTCTTGCTCATCACCTTGGTGATGTAGAGGGGACAGTTGGTCTGATTGGCTATGGTGACTGAGCGGTTCACGGCCTCAGCCTCCACCTGCAGACACAGTCATGTTAATTAGCAACTTGTTTTCCATACCAGCTTTCTTGCACCAATGTTCTTTTAGTGTATTTCAGGTCTTTAATATCAAAAGTACATTATCACAACACTCCTCTGTCTTACCTCCTCTGGGCGGCTGAGCACATGACCTTCAGGACCAGTGATCCCCAGCTCCAGAATACGTCTCTGCTCCTAGAAACACACACACAAAGGAGCATCATAGTCAAAAATGGCAACAACGGCTTCATGCTGAAACTTGACCTTAAACTTATCCGTGGTTCTGTTACCTCTAAGATGATGTCTCCGTTCTCAGCATGCACCTGTGCAATGGCTCCAAGATCTCTGATGACACTGAACACCTCATAGATCTAAAGGATGACATACTAGTCAGCTCTTAGGAGAGTTTTGGACACTACAGCCTCAAAAATGTGTGCTTTGATAGACAGCTCAGCAAACTGTGCAGAGAAGCAGAGCATACCTGGGAGTCAGAAAGTTGGAAAACATCCTTATAAGCCAAATAGACCAGGAAAGAGTTGACACCTGAAGATAGAAAACTTATGAGAGAAAACAGCCAAAGGTGGAACAAAGAGAGCAAAAGAGGGAAAAACCCCAGAGCGAAGGAGAAAAGTAAAACCAAAGGGATACAAATTACAAAGTAGAAACATTTGGTTACTGTTTCATCGTCTGATAAAGGTTTTTTACTCCAAACAATGGCTGACAAACACTTGACTGAAGCAAAACAAGATGTGAAATTTTACAAGTAAATGAGCTTATTGTTATTGCTTGTGTCCACAGAGCACTTTTTTTTCTGTCAGAGAAGGATGCAGACTGAGATGAAGCGCTTTTGTGGTGAGAAAAAAAAGGCTTCAATTGGGTTTAATTTCTATGCCAACAATATCTCTATCTCCTGATTATGCCTTTTTGTTATATCATGTGTTTATTAATCGACACACTATTTATCAATTTTATGATGTAGCTGATCTCAAAACTGCTAAGATGATGTACAAAACACAGAAAATGTACTTCCTTTAAAAGGTCCTTCCCTCAAACTTCAGCGTACACGTTTTTTGGTCGGTAAATTGAGTCAAGCTCCTTGAGATTGGTTGCCTGAGTGCCTTTCTGGAAAGTTCAAATATTGTTAATAGATATTGATAAAATATTAACTTGAGGCACTCAGAGCAGCCGTACAAAAAAGAGGGGCACATTAAGAAGACACTTGCCACTTCACTTTTTACTAAGCTCTGCCTCTTCCTCTCTCTCCTTGTTAAGAACAATTTAGCAAAAGAAAAAAAAAAAAAGAAGCTGTGTGGACACAAGCCCCGAGGCAGTACATTTCTGTCATGTTTTATTCACTTGAATATATAGACCACATACCATGGTCCTTCACCAAGGTCTCCATCTCTTCTTGGGTGCCTTTGTTCCAATCGGTGATGTCCACATGCAGAGAATAGTCACAGCAGGACTTGCTGTCAGCCCACTCCCTCCACTGTTTAAAAGCTGCGACCAAGTCTACGCCAGGCTCTGGCACCACATGGTCAACTGCAAAACACAAACACACAGGTTGGATTTCATGAGCACAAGCAAACAGCCTAATTAAATCATACGCTTGACGACATGCACATCTGCAGGGTTAGAATCCCTGCAACGGGATTACTCAGCTTCTAAACACATGACTGATGTGTAACACATACTGATCATAGTTGTCCCCCCAGCCAGGGCTGCCCTGGTGCCCTGGTAGAAGTCATCTGCTGCCACCATGCCTCGGTCAGGCATCTGAAAACGGGTGTGCACGTCAATACCCCCGGGCATCACCATTCTCCCATGAGCCTCTATGATCTTAACTCCCCCAGGAACAATGAGGTTGTCTCCAATTTGCCTAAAGAGGACAAATAAAACATGCAAAGCACAGAACTGAATGAAAAAAAGTTGAATTGACTTGATTCTAAAAATCAAGGTTAAGATGTTTATGGTTTGTTTTTTTCTCCAGAAATGAAAAGAACAGTAGCCCTCATAACACTCAGATTGATACTTACTTGATGACTCCATCCTCCATGTAGATATCGGCCAGGAATGACTGATCATCGTTCACTATCTTTGCTCCTTTGATGAGGAGACGGTCACTCTGAAAGAATGAGACGGACAGACATTTTAAAGGACCCATAAACTATAAATAAAAGAAATCCAGCCAGCTGCTCAGAGAGAAAGGTAAAGTAATAATCTTTGTTATTCGTTTTCCCTTAAGAGTCAGCTGCTCCATGACTTAACATTTAATTTAACCCATTTCATTAACAGTCATTTATGTTGTCGCCAAAATTAAGATTTGGTTTTGGATTAGTTTTAAATAACTATAATGAAATCTGGGGAAGAAGGGCAGAGAAGCTACCACAAACTTTATCAAGGAGGAGATGGGAAAAGGAACTAAAAAACAAAATAAGCAGTCGACAGAAGGAAAATGTGTGAAACTATCTTTTCAACTGTTTGTTCTTCTATGTAGTATGGCAATATTTGGTTAGAAGAATCTTGTGCACTATTTAATTACTCCTAAATTGAAAATATCTCATATCTGCAACACTTTGAATGCAGGCGATATAAAGCAGATCACCACCACCTTCTTGGCATCAGCTAAAAGATACAACTGATGAGGGAAAAGATTTGGAAAATCATGCAGCATTCTGCGATTGCCGTTCCCATTGACTTTTATGTCACATTATTTGGGTGATCTGCTGGAAGGAATAACAGAACATTTCAGATAATTCCCTAAAATATTTACAGTAGCAGCAAAAAAAAGCAAGCACTTGTAAATGGTTCCAGGCTGATCCTACCATTAGGCCTGCACGATCAGAGATAAATATGAGTTGTGTGATAACATCGTTCAATACTGCAATAATGACATTAAGTGTGATAAATTACCAAATATTTATGACTATATTAGCTATATTAGCTCACAGTTTTTATGTCTGTCAGATGTTATTTGTGTTTTATACAAAACCAGTGTTTGCAACATGTATCAATTATACAATTATATCGCATGAATCAATTATACATTTCTCACCACTTAATTGGCACCAAATATTCTGAGGGTAGCAGATAGCTAGCATGAGCCTCTTGTGACTGCATCAAAATAGTGTGAAAGCATGGTTATCATAAGCAGGCCTCCATCCAACAGTAGAGAACTGGCTGGAAATCATGAAAGAGATTCATTGGATGATAGACTGGCCTCCCTGTTGAGACTGAGAAAGTATTTGTGCATTTGTGCATGGACAAAATGGAAACTATTTGTCGGAATAAATGCTTGGTGGTCTGCCCTGCTCGTTGTCATTGCTTAAAAGGTATTTATTATTATCAAATATGAAGTGCTGTTTATGTGTTACTGTTAGGACAGGCTGTCTGTCATCTGGGAATCGTAAATGTTATAATGCCTGCTAATAAAGTTGCTTTCTGTACTATTGTTTTTTGTTTTAAAAGAGACTTAAGAAAATCTAAGTCTTAAAGAAAAAGGGGAAAAAGGTTGTGCCAATAATAACATATACTGTATATATATGCTATATATTATAGTTACATAACGTATAGCCATTCTCCTTCGATAACCAGCTGATTGGAGCTTTAATTGTCTCAGACTGCTGACTGACAATCTTCTCCTTTGGTTTGCAGCCATAACATTTTTTTTGACCACTGAGAACACGTTGTTGAGACGTTGTTTTTGTCCTTTATAATTATTATACTATTATAATAATATGAATTACTGGTAGTATTATTATTATAGTATAATAAATCTGTTTGGATCAATTCATCTAATAATCTATGTATTTGTTTAACATAAGTAGGACAAATAAATAAACTGCTAGACTGAATGATGTGTTTGTATCAGTACACTCAAGAGGACAAGAAAAGTAAAGTATTGTGCATTAAATTTACAAAGCGACTTTTTTAGAACAAACAAAAAAGACCTCAGGGTTAACTTCAGCCATCATTAAGCTTTGTCTATTTTTCGGTTTTCTCAGAAAACTCAACAAGGCTTTTCTAAGTATTGAACTAAGAATACATTGTTTAAACCAATCATAAGTCAAGCCATGCCAACTTTCATCCTGTGTAAATTACAATACTAGTTGACAAGGGTTATTCACCTTTAATAGACTACATTTGAAGAAAGGGATTAATTCTTTATCAAAACATTCAAGTAAGAGCACTGAGGCTTAATTCAGCCTGTTTGAGATGAAAGGAGAGCGGAGAAGCCTGGCCTACTTCTCCTACAGGCTTACAGGGGTCTCTGAGGACAATACGGAGATAATGAAGACAAAAGTGGTTTACTGCCAACCTCACAGCAGGAAACACTCAGTTTATAATATGTCAAGAGTGTGTGTGTTAGGTTCGTGTGTGTGTGGTGTGTATGTTTTTGTGTGTGTGTGTGGGGGGGGGGCATGAACAGACAGAGTGCATTAGGTACACAGGTTATGTGGCTGAGTTGACATGAACTCCCATTACTCCCCTCTTAATGGGTCTTACAACCTATGTCCTCTTTCTACCCAAGTAGTCAGCGCACTTGAGCTTAACCTCAGCCCAAAATGGCTTTCATGATTAATTCCTATTGTCCTAACTCCATTAATGAGTGCACCATTATGTTGGGGTAATGTACAGTAAATGCACTTCTTTACCATGAATAAGCATGTAATGTATAATCATGAAACACGGTAATGTTGTTATATGTTAAATGGGTGTGAGCTTTTAGAGCTAGTGATTACTTCCGCACAGATATAGTGAGGATAATAAATAGGAACACCTGTCAGTAATTTGGAATATGATTCAACAAAAACATACTCCGAAATTCAGCATTCAGTGAAGATATGCTTTTTTTTAATTTTAGCTTTTTTTAGCCAGGTAAGTCCCATTAATATTGGATATCTGTTTTATAATATTATAATAATAATAATATAAAAAGTTTAGATTAAAGACCGGTCACTAAGGATCAGACTGTAGATGACACGCAACAAACAAATGTAAAACATTGCAAACAGCAGGCTGGAATTCTTTGGCTAAAACTTCAAATGCTTTCTTTATTTTTTTTTTCTCATTCATCAAAAGCCATATCTTCATTACAATATTGAATAATGTTTTTACAGCGCAGGTTTCCCCTCTACTTAACAGGTATTTTCAGTATACGTGAGCTAAACTGGACTAACCATGCTTATATTCATGTTTGATAGAATATGCTTTTATTTCAGCATTGTCATCACTGTTGCATCGACGTATAAAAGCAACTTCACATGTTATTCAGCTTCGGTGCATGACTATAATAAATACAGTAAGAAATAATCAGGCACTACAAAGACAACAGCACTCTAAATAACGCAATAATTCCTGTGTTTGAGATTATTCAGCAGGGGATAAAACACAAAATCACTATTATCACTATTCAGTAAAACTATGTGCTTCATTCCCAACAATCACATTGCATGTGATGGTGTGTGTCTGAGGCCTGTGAAGAGTGACTCTGTGTAAAACCCTGCCTTGACCTGTGACAACTATACCAAGACAATGGGGCCAATACTTTACAGTAGGTTGCTTGGTGTTATCAAATGACCCCACTTTAAAGCAGTTACTACCATGATGCTTCACTCTCAACATTACAGCTGCAAGAGGAAAGATTAGAAAGGAAGACGGTTTGGATGGTAGCTGCTATCCAATGACCTACTTTTACAAACGAGGGTTTACTTCTTCTGGCTTTTCACGGCATCCCTACTGTATATCCTTAATACTGTGCTTTAAGGTGGAAAAAGCTGCACCATTTAAAAAAAAAAAAAAACAGACATTATAATGCAAAATCCACCATTTCTGACAGTGGGCTTTATGGGTTCAATAACCTAATCGTGTCATGGCTGCTGCTGCTGCAGATTTTGGACGATGTAACAAAAAAAGCATAAGAGATGCAGAATGAAGAAGAAGGTAGAGCAAGTGGATGTCAGAGGATGGAGGACGAAAATGATGAGAGTAAAGATGTGTCTAAAGCAGTTCACTACACCCTAAAGGCTGAGGATGCTGACAGAGACAGCTAAAGCAGATGGGACGCTTCATAAAAAAAACACTGAGGGCTCGTTAACTAACATTTAATATATATATATATTTTTTTTAAATACACTTAAGCTGCAAACCCAGTGACCGGTTATCATTATTCGCCCATGGATCTCAGTGGAGCTGAATCAGGTCTGTCTCTGAATGGCTAAAGCGATAATTAGCTTTTGGTCCAGTCCTGAGTCTCACCGCACATTACAGCAGCACCTCTCAGTGAAGCTCAGACATGATATTTGTTTCAGTGATGGGAGCATACTCACTGTGATTCGTGGAATATTCTTCTTTCCTTGGTAACCCGACATTGTTCGCCTCTGTCACAGCTGCCCCCTGCCTCTCGGCTAACGCTAGCTAGCTCGTCTGGGAAAAAAAACCTCAGCTGCCAATGAAAGGATGAATGGATGCTCTGCTTTGGTGGCCAGACGACGCCCAGGAATATCTGTCCTCCTGTCCGACAATGTCTGTCGCTGGTGAAGAGAGTTTGCACAGTGCAGAGCAACAAATAATTTAAAATACACCGGTATATATTTTCCCCAACAGTCCTATCCTTGGTTATAATGATGGAAAAGGTCTCTGAAGACCAGACAAGCACCAAGAAGACAAGGGCCACAAAGAGGTACCGCGCATGCGCACTGCCCCGCCCTGCTCAGCATTAGCTCCATGTTTCTTTGATGGTTTATTATTAGTTTGGGGGGGAAAAAAATGTTTAGCATCAAAAGTATTGACCGGTAAACTCAACAAGTTATTGGGGAATAAAACTAATATATAGATCAGCATTTATAATACAACTATTCATTAAAAAAAAAATAACAATAGTCAGCTCTAGTGGCTGCAATTGCATGGGAGCTGTCAATTAATGTATCCTTTTGTCTGTGAGCAAACATTTAATACACATTATAATAAAACTCGTCCTTGCATACTTTAAAATCTAAGGTTTATTTTTTCCCAGCCTGCAATCAAGCAAAGGACAAAGTTTACATCACTAAAGCCAGAGTCAGTCAAAGGCATGAAACTATTTTAAAAATGAGGGGCAAGAAGCAACATTGGAAATTTCATCACATTCATTTAATTTTGCCCCATCCTCTCCTCATGCCTGTTTTTGTAATAAAAAAAAATATACAAGGCACAGAGGCTTTGTCTATGTTTGATTTGGAGGATTTATGACATGAAAAAGACATTAGATAAATCTGAGTGGAACTTTTACTTTTGAACATTAAACTGTGGAACTGTCATTCCTTGAATAAACTACAAACACAAACAAATAACACTTTTGATTGCTAATGTTAACATAGCTGCATTACCACCTAATACAAAGGGGACTGAAACTTCCATAGGAAATGATTATTCCTCAGCAGTCAGCTTAAAAACTGACTGCTCGTCAACAATCAATAGTGCAGAAGCCCATATTGATGATATGTGCATTTTATTCGTTATTATGATTTAAATAATTGTGTATTCATATCTCAGCCACTGCATACAGTACAAACTTTATTCAAAATCCAAAACGCTCTGTATTGCACACGGATCAACTGTACATAAGCCTGTTATGGTGACAGTTTATGGGTTAGAATGAGTTATATAATGCATTAAAGCCTGTATGCATGATGTGTGCTCAAAACCATTTCAGCCAAAACTTCACATTATGGCCAATGGTTTTCCATTCCACTCTATGATGTCATTTAAAAACAATGACAGAAGAATCCTCCAGCCAACATCCACATACAGAACAACATCTATACTTTTTCTACAGACTCTTCCCACTGTTTATTGCATGATGTTATGTGAAAGGATTGCACAGTGTAATCTAAATAAAAGTCAGATAACACTCTTTGATGAGGCCCCAGTCAAAACCCCTCTTCTTTGCTTGGCTTCAGCAATTAAACAACAGCAAATACACATTACGTACACTGCCACAATGCCATACAATAACAACTATATAATATGCATTAGTATCAATGTATAAACAAATTATACAATGTCAAAAGATATGAGGGCAGATCACAGCTTAGATTATTTTTCACATCTACATCTTTAAATAACTAAACATATTTGAAATTAAAAAAACTGTCTAAGATAAACCACAAATGTGCAGTGGTGAAAGATATTAATTTGGCACATAGCCATTGCTGCTATGGTATGTTAAAGAATATGATATGTTGGCAAAAGGAAACGAAAACAGCATATGGCCTGGTAAAAAGCCTTTCAGCTTAAGTTCCACTAGCATAGGTTTTCAAACAACCCTACTGAAACATTTTGCAGCTACATACTACATCAGTGTTTAAGCTTTCCAACCTTCAAAAAACAAAGCTTTATGAGTAACTCCCCGGAGTCAACAGGATACAACTTCTACTCTCAGAATATTGTGGAATTTAAAAAACAAATCCCACTGTGCAGCATAATTAGTTTCCCCTCCCCAAATAACTGCACCTTGAATGTTTAATTAAAAAAAGATAAGGCAAAACAAGTCCCCGCTGTTGCATGAGCAAATTCAATTTGTTGGTACTGTAGGTATGGCGTAGTAGAGATTCAGCTCAGGAGAAAGGCCAGATTTGTCATGACAATGCATCAAAACAAGTAGAGAAACCTCAACCCTGAAGCCACCAGACATCAAATCCTTGTCACACATTTTGGAGTTTAACAGGATGACTAATATTGTTCCGGCTGTAACAGGGTCTGTAATCAACTGGATTTAAGTTGATGACTTAGAACAATGTTGCCCTGTGTCAAAAGGTGATGGAGTGTGGCAACGTTACGTCATGTTTATAACTCTATAACTACATCTACAATGTGACAGAAGTCAATGCTGATTAGAGGAGATATGAAGGTTTTACAATAGATGCAGGGACACATCTAAACTACTGGAAGATGGTAGGGAGACTTGGAGAAAGAGAAACATCCAGGCACTGCTTCAACTTCTATTCAGTAGGAGCTGGTGGGGGCTGTGGCAATCCTCTTCCCGATGTACACACTGTGGGGGGGATTGGAAAAAGTTAATGAATATGTAGCAGTTAAAAAAGATGATACAAACTGACAATCCTGATAATAATGACTCTCATTTCAAGATTTTTTCAAGACATCCAGGTCCTGTAATTATCAGAATTTGGCTTTCAAACATGACTGGGGTTAATAATACTGTATAAGCAGTGTATAAGGAAGTTTCCATAATACAAACACACATATCTCTTTACCCTACTTGCTGGTTTAATACTCCTGAGGCAATTAAAAAAAGGAGACTCATAAATCAAAGAATAATAAAAATAAGTCCATCTTTCTGATAAAAAAAACATTCTAAATGGAATTATATACTTGATTTGCTGAGACTAAAAAGCAGTGCATTGATACAATCATCCATTCTGAACTGACCCTCTCCTACAGCTCATACTGAGTCACACAAACATTTCCAAAGGCACAGATAATAATAATAAAAAAAATGTTCCAGTTGGGTAAAATAAATTATTATTATTTTTTAATACAGAGTCCTACTGTGCATGACAACAGAACTGCATGAATTCAAACTTACCCAATGCCGAGGGCAAGGATGTGTGAGATGAGTAAGGAAGGGATGAAAACTTTAAGGAATTCAGCAGAGAAGAAGCCCCCTTTCTTCATGACCCCACTCTTTCTCATACTGAGAGACACTGAACGTTTGGGGTGCCTGAAGTGGAACTCCCTGGGAAGGAAAAGAAATGAATGCAAAGTTGGTTTGATATCCTGAACATCTTTAAGTTGATAATTCTGGGAATAAAAGTCAGCTTACTTTGGTGGAATGTTTTCTGGTCTGCTGGACCAATCAGCAACCCAGTCTACTTCTTTGTTCATTAAGATGTCTTCCTCTCTCTCCTGCTCCAGACCTTCTTCCTCTGACTGTACATGTGGAGGTAAAGAAGCCAGTCTTAAGAGTGATTATACAAATGTACAAGAGCCTCAAGAACCCAGTGTTGTTTAATGTTGTTTTACCTGACTATCTCTCGGACTTGGCATTTCCACATCAAAAGTTATCTGACCTTCATCCTGGTCTGGACTTGGTGGCCTGTGAGGACTAAATAAAATATATTAGGGGGAAAAAAACAAGAACTCGTCAACAACAAATTAATTTTCTGGGCCTAAAAGAACAAACAATGGCTTGTATTCCTACCTATCGCAGGCAGAGTTACTAGGACTGGATTCATGCTGTGCATCCAGGAGGATCTTTTCCATGTCTCCATTGTGGATAGACGAGGACGACGGCACATGCTCTAGTCCTCCGATAAAGGTTTCATCGCTCTCAGGCACCACTTCCAGGGTCTGCAGAGTTTGACTCATCCCGGCATTTGCATTTATTTGGTCTGCAGCAGGTGCCACTTGCAGGCTGGTATGCATGTTGCCCTGGGCCCCTGTGTTCCCATTTAGCTCTAACTCTACCCAAGAGCCTTGGCACCACAAAAGAGTCAAGAGAAGGGAAGGAAGGAAAAATTAGATGTGTTGTGCTTTAAGTGCAATCCAAACAGCAGACTGAAAACCACAAAGAAAGCCACCTCTGTTCCCAATCAAAGGAAAACAGCTGACCTACATTTCCTGCACCTCTGACACAGTGCATTTACATGAACTGACTGTGCACTGCATCAATGATAGCATGCATGTCTTTGTGCCACTGCCCCACAAACAGCTTGCACATTTTTCGAAGCAGGAGGAGGTTATGTAATCTCTTACGGACTGCAGGCTTAGATGAGCACAGAATCTCAGACTTAAATAGCCTTACACCTCTTTCAATTAAAGAAAAAAATATATATAGGCCTAATGCGTTAAATTCGAAGAAATACACCTTATCACACGATTGCCACATTTATAGAATAGATTTTTTTTCATCCATGCTGCTCACTTAAGAGGGGTTGCATAACAGGAGCGGTGTGTGCGTGTGACCATTTGCCCAGACATGTCGCTGTTCCAGCTGTGATGTTGACACATAAAGCACACGTCCAGGTTTTGTGTCGGAATAAATGTTTTTTTTTACTTTATGTTTATCGATTCTAAAACAAACATTTGTTCTGTCAGTCAGGTGTTTGAATGTATTTTGGATGATGTTAGTCAGCTGGCACATCGCTAACATCCTACCATTGTCTTCCTTTAGAAATAATATGTAATTACGACGGCTTTCTTCAACTACACATCTACACATGGAAGGAGAGTCATATACATCTTTTTTTAACGAATAAGATACAAATGCAGCGTCTATTTTGCCTTTTGTCCGAAACTTGTTTTCATTTTACCTAGTGCCCGCCCTTCGCCGAGATGTTTACCTGATTGGCTGACATGCCATCATTCAAACACATACCACGAAACAATTGGCTGGCTTGTGGCGACGTCAAACAACATCACCCCCCCCCCCCACCCCTTCGACAAGAAGAGGAAATACCAAACCCGATGCAACTTTTACAATAAAATCTCAATTACACGAACACCATCCAAAGCATTCAAACACTCCTAAGCCTTCTCTTAAGTAGACTTTGTAGCGCGGAGGACCGGTACTAATGAAGTTGGTACGTACCGTGAAGCCCAGGCTCCTCGTTATTGTTTCGTTGAGCAGCAGGGGTGGACATGTTGACTCCCCAGTTCTAGCGTTCATCAACATGACACGCATACAGACTACAAAGAGCGCATGCGCGGAATTTCGACAGACAGACAGACAGATAGGGGGACTAACAGCAGGTTCCAGATAAGTGAACTAAGAAGTCAACTTTTTTATTAATCACCATACCCGAGAATAAATACAAATATGGACTATACAACCAAACACAGCATTTTTGCACAACCCTGATTTCCTAATAACAGGATGCAGAGATCTGCATGACCATTGAGGATGTTTTCCTATATGCGCCTGTGTAGTCTAGGGAACTGATGATTGTAGGAAGGGTGGCTCCTGTCACTCATTCCTGCTACACATGCCTGACTCACTTAATTATTAATGTTGGGGGGGAGAATGTCCATAAATATTGTTTTCTGTACATTTATAGAATTATTATACATTTTGTTCATCCTTCCTTCACACAACTACAAAGGTCTTGTTGGCAGACTAGATTGTATATTTTTATTTAGTTTTGTAGAATGAATAAATGTCTTATGATTCATTTTCACTGTCACATATGAATCGTCACTGTGATTGCAGTGAGGATGAACATAGGCAGAAGAGAAAATGAGTTCCCGGTGTCACTAACCTGTTCACATTGCTTGGTGTTGAACTCAAGAGGCTGAGGTGGTGGGAGAGTTGAGACAATGTTGGAAAAGTCATTTGCAAAATGCCAAATAAGTAGATCCATAAGCAGTGTCTTTCTAATTAACAGCATCAGTCTTATCATTATAAATCTTCTCTTTATGCAGTTATTACACTATTTCAGCACGATTCCTCATACTCCACCAGACTTTATTTGTATAGCACCAATTAATACACTTTACAAAAAGAGCAGGTCTCGGCCGTACTTTTGGTTATAATATTTAAAGAATCCCAACATTAATCCACCATGAACAAAGCACTTAAGCAACATAAGCAAGTAACAGTGACTGGTAAAACTTGAGTAGAACTAGACTCAGGTTTAACCTCCATCTGCTGCAATTGTGTATTCAAAGCACTAAAAGTACAAAGCAGTTTAATAAGGATTTAGGTTTGAAATTCTTTATTACTTTTCATCTAAATTTTTACTCAATTCCATTTAACAAAAACAAATAAATCTGTACAATGAACCATTTATACTTTTTTTTTTCACCAAACAGATCACCAAAACTCCCAACAGTCTTTATTTTAAAGCCCCTTAAAAAGAAAGTAATTCATGAAGATCACAAAAATAAAAAGTGCATTTTTGTTTTAACTCCTGTGATACATTAGTCGTGTGTGTATAATGCTGCTTTAAGTGGAAAAAAACCATGTAATTCCAGTTCAGACAGTTTGAATGAGAAATATGTTGATGAATGTGCGTAGGGTAAGTTTCTATCACCCCAAAATTCATGTTTTAAAAACCATTATATCTCCCTGATGTCTAAAAGGGTCTAACTGTAAATAAGGTTGTTCTTCTAAAAGTCCTGACAAGATGCTTTATTTGGAAGTTACAAGGTAGTGATCACAGAGCAGCAGTAAGTTCCCCTGAGCAGAAAGTTCAAGAAACATATTTGATTATCTTAGTTTTTCTTCATGCTATAAAAAGGCATTAGGGTTCTTCTGAATGCTGCCAAAGCCTCAAACAGCAGCCCTGAACGAGAAGTGAGGGGAGGTGATAAAGATTATTGGTCAGATGTTTTTCTTATCATGAATGTTAGTGACTGTTATTCATTTAACTCCTCCAGTATGTGATAACCATCTCTGAAGAAAATTAGATGTTTTGAGAGTTATTACCCCCCAAAAGAGAGAGAAAATGCCATTTCTGATCCAATACTTATTTTTTTTTATATATATATATATATATATATTTCTCCACTAGACAACACTCCATGTCCACAGATTCTAATAGTTTGGATTATTCCTAACTACAAGATGGGACGATAGTGCCACTAAAGGTTAATATGAAATGAGGAAAATAACCAAACACAATCCTGCATTAGATGATAAAGGCTGTTCTCATATGATCGCAAAATAACAAGAAAATAAAGACTAACGACATGTCTCATTAGAGGAGGACATTATTCAGAGCCCTGAGAGAGTGACGCTCAACAGTAGCTTAACACCACCTTATAGTGGAAGCTGGTCATTTTGGTGGAATCCTACTGATTAGAAATCAGTTTTTTCAAAGACAGGAGTAGCACAACACCTTATATAAATATGATCCAGTGGACCAATAAGCTGATTAAATGGCTAAATCTGTGCCAATCAAATGTGTGGATTTATCAAGCACTCCAGAAGATAATTGACAGCATGTGACTGAAGAAGAAGGAAGCAGAAAAAGCAGAGCTTTCTTTGAAGTAAATTTTCCATGTAATTTTTCCATGTTTAACTTCCACACAAAATTCAGCAGTGTTCCACAACCGTTCATATTCTCAGGAGAGAAGACATTGTCTAATCAACTGACTCTACTAACTTCAGAGAACTGTTGATTGAAAATTATTAAATGAAGAAAACATGTTGACTAAACGACTCCCATTTAGACCCAAAAGAGTTTCACAGCGAGCGAGAAAATAAAAAAAGATTCATAAAACCATGGCACATAAACAGAACATAAAAGATCCAAATCAAGTCAGAATCAAACTCTGAAGCGTTCAAAAAAAGTCAGACAGAAAACATAAGTTACAGTCAAAAACATGAAAACAGTTAAGAGTGCTTATGACTACAGATGTGCTGACACCTGAAAATACTTCTTTTTTTTTTTTCTTCCATCCAGAGTGAGAAATAAAACACTTCCTTGATGTCACAAAACGTCTTGAGCTTTTAAAGAAACACCTTGCCAGAATGAACATGTCCCCAAGTCAAAGAAGTTACCGGATCAGGCAACCGTCCATCTATAATCAATCTGAGACAGCTTAAGAAACTACAGTGATCAGACTGTAATCCTACTGCCTTCATTATACAAAAATAAATCTATAGTGATTATTTTACTTTTATCAGGAACAGTACAAAACATTTAAAAAAAAATGGAAACTAAACTAAATTCAGAGATTAGAGCAGTCCATCTATTAACAACAACACAAGCTGGCAGCCTCAGTACACGAGAGAATGAGGCTACATCCCCCCATTATGCCCATCCACATAGAAAAGCTTTTGTCCTGAGCTTTTAAAAATGATCTTTTAATTCAAATTAAATATGAGATCGGTAACTTTGGCAGAAAGAGCCGACATTCAACTCCCCCAACCCCCCAAAAAAACCTGAAAAATGTGTGCGCTGCTATTAGTGAACGATAAAGGACAACTGAAGTGTAGAAAATAAACCAGTGGTTGGTTCATAATTATGAGTACGCTGTAGACTAGGGTCAGCAGGAATGCAATTCTACTCCATTTGTGGAGAATAAGCTTCAACATGATAAAACACCAGAGTTGTCCTTTAAAGGGATACTTCACCCATTTGCATTAAGCTTTGTATCATTAGAAACCTGGTAGTATTTTTGAATGGCCGTACATCCCGCCCACAGAAAGATCTGTATTTACTTTCTGAAAAGGAGCCTCCAATGACGCAAAAATCGTCATTTTGCGTCATCGGAAGCTGCTCTGGTTAGAGGGGAAGAAACTACATCGCTAGTTCCTCACGTTTTCAACCCGCCCACTGAAGCTACAGACCAATCACAGATCAGTGGGTGGGACCTCTCTACCAGAATCGAAACTCAACGTTTGCCATATTGCTTGGTAGCTATGCTAACAGGCTCTGTGGAGAAAGTTGAGAAGAACTAAAGTATGATAAAAGTATGTTTCAACTTCAAACTGATATGCATGAAGGGGATTTTGAAGGTCTTGTGCTCCATTCGGATGCACGTGGCTATCTCTACAAGCCGCAATATAGCAAATAGGCGGCGGTGAGAACGAGGAGCACAGGCCGGCTCGAGCTGGGGCCGACTGGTAGTGTTGGTGCGCTCACTGTTTGCCTATGGACACAGACATAGAGTCTGTTGATGCCAATTCCTTCTGGAAGAAATCTCGGAATCAGTTGAGAAAACGGCTTGATGTGTTGTAGTAAATGTCTGTAAATGGAGGACCCTAGCTTCAGTGGGAGTGGCCTGCGGTGCTATGCATTCTGGGAGTTGTTGTCTTTCATCTACATGAGCCAAAAATACACTTTCTGCCTTTTCTCAGTCAAGAGGGCACCAACCTCAAAATTTATTTCACATTTCTACTAAATACAGGTGCATCTCAATAAATTAGAATATCATGGACAAGTTCATTTATTTCAGTAATTGTGAAAGGTGAAATGTATATATATTGTGGATTAATTACAGACAAAGTCAACTATTTCAAGCCTTTATTTGTTTTAATCTTGATGATTGTGGCTTACAGCTCATGAAAACCCAAAAATTAGTATCTCAGAAAAGTAGTATATTGCGAAAAGTTCAATATTGTAGACTCAAGGTGTCACACTCTAATCAGCTAATTAACTCAAAACACCTGTGAAGGTTTCCTGAGCCTTTAAATGGTCTCTCAGTCCAGTTCAGTAGGATTCACTATCATGGGGAAGACTGCTGATTTGACAGTTTTGCAGAAGACGGTCATTGATGCCCTCCTCAAGGAGGGTAAGACTCAAGCAACAGGGATAATTGCAAACTTGAAAGGATTGTCAAGCAAAGGCCATTAAAAAATTTGGGGGAGCTTCACAAGGAGTGGACTGAGGCAGGAGTCAGTGCATCAAGAGCCACCAACGCACAAACGTATCCAGGACATGAGCTACAACTGTTGCATTCCTCGTGTCAAGCCACTCCTGAACCAGAGCCAACGTCTTACCTGGGCTAAGGAGAAAAAGAACTGGTCTGTCGCTCAGTGTTCTGACGTTCTCTTTTCAGATGAAAACGCTTCCTTCTGCTTACAAGCTATATGGAGATACAGATTTAATTTTCCAGCCTGACTTGGCACCTGCCCACACTGCCAAAAGTACCAATACCTGGTTTAATGACCATGGGATTACTGTGCTTGATTGGCCAGCAAACTCGCCCGACCTGCACCCCATAGAAAATGTATGGGGTATTGTCAAGAGGAAGATGAGAGTAGTGTCACAGGCTGATCGACTCCATGCCATGCCGCATTGATGCAGTGATTAATTCAAAAGGGGCTGTAACAGAGTACTGAGTGCATATACAAGAACATAATTTTCATAAGGCTGACATTTCTGTGTTAAATTGTTTTGTTTTTTTTGGTTTTTTTTACTGGTCTTAGGTAATATTCTAATTTTCTAAGATACTGATTTTTGGGTTTTCATGAGCTGTAAACCACAATCATCAAGATTAAAACAAAGGCTTGAAGTATTTCACTTTGTGTGTAATTAAACCACAACACATATACATTTCACTTTTTAAATTGAATTACTGAAATAAATAGAATTTTCCAGGATATTCTAATTTATTGATTTGCACCTGTATATGACCCCATTTCAATACAGATTCATGTTTTAACGGGTGAAGTGTCCCTTTAACTGCACATACATACCGTGACATGTGAAAGTAGTGGTGAGTGAACTTGGCAACTTCACAAATACTTGGGGCAAATATGGAGTGTTGATATCTTGCATTAGCTGTGTTTCAGGCCAATAAGAAGGAGCTTGGTGACAAAGCAAATAAAGGTAGACAGAATTTCCTATTCAAACGAATCTAGCATGGTAGCTACTAAAACTTGAAACAATTGGTAGCTATTGCATACAAATATATCATTTCTGAATGGCACAAAAGAATAAAGAAAGAAACATTTTCCCTTTGGTTTGGGATGTAGTGGAGTAGCAAAAACATTAGCCTGCTGAATGGAGAGTTCCTGCTGGAAAAAATTAAAGATAATAAATCCAAAGTTCTGGTCTCAGTACTACAAACTCTGACTGCTTTTTTTTTTAATAGACATGGAAATTGTGCTTGCGAAACCTTCTTGGACTAACAGTGTTAATGCCACTGTTTGTTGTTGATGGACTAAATCTCTCTAAAATCACCAAGTGTAGATCATTTTAAAACTTGGGATTTAGCCACAGATGGAAAGATATTGTTTGAATGTAGGAAGAAGAGCATTGAGCCTGACAGAAACTGGGATCTGAGCCGTTTAACAAAAGCTAGTTTAGTTTCTCCTCAAATATGTACAGATTGTTGGTGGTGGCGACCGCAATGATGTTGTCCAGAGGATGCCAGGCAGTGTGCAGGATCTTCTTGTTAAAGTCCAGACTGTCTACACTGATCTCATCCTTTTTGCGCTTCCCACCTGTGCTTACTTTGCGAGGTTTCAGGACCGATCGAGGCTTGCCGTTCTCCCGTGACGCCTCTAGAGTTACGTCCTGCCGATAGCCTCGGTCAAACATCCTGAAGAAGTTGTTGTAGGATCCCGTCATCACAACGCTGCAGGGAGACAGAGTACAAGTGAGTGCTAGTAAACCACATTATAATTTTAAGAGATCATTTGTTAAAAACACATAGATATATTGTCCTGTAGGGAATTCCCCTCTACCACCGAACCACACCATGTGCAGCCTTCTGCTCTGAGCAGATAACCAAAGTAATTGATAAGGTTTGATGAGGCTTGCTCGTTTCAGCTGCTTCAAACAAGAGTCAGCCCAAAACACTTACATGCATCATGTAAATGTGAAATGTGGGGTATTCCTAAGGCAATGTCACGAAATGAGGCTTGGCTTTATCAAATTGAATTTTTTCTTTAACAATGCTGATATCTACCAGAGAAACAACATTATTTATTTTTTAAACCCTGATACAAACTCACCTGTCGTTCCCGTTCCAACAGCACTCGAACTTGTCAAAGATGCAGTCATTCTCATAAAGTGAACACAACTTACTCCTGAGATATTCATGCACCTGTTGAAGGAAAAAGATGGAGAGGTGTTGCATTTATAATCAAGTCGTGTGCAGGAGTGAAAATAACATTTCAATGTGACCTGTGTAAAACAGCGCCCTCTGGTTGAGTGGCCATAGAACTATGACCACCCTTACAATCCTCCCAAAATAAACAGATGCAAAATCAGTGAACTTTGGTTTAAATACAGCAAAGGTAACAAACCTGATATGTCTCTACTGGCCGGGTTTCCATGTTGAGATCCCAGATTTTGACGGACAGGTAGTCGCGGGTCATCAGGTAACGTCCACTGTGGCTGAACTTCACATCAGAGATCGATGAGATGATTTCAGAGAAGAATGAACGATTGTTTGGATCCTCTGGCTCTTCAAACACTGAAATTAATACAAAGAATGCAGGTTTTTAATTTTTGCCCAATTTTATAAACAGTTGTGTAAGAGTAAAGCATTAACACACAAAATTAGTTTTGATGTTTTGATCAATGGAGGAATGTACTTAATAATCAGTTTGTTTTTATGAGTGTCGAGGGCACTTGCAAACATTCATACAGTAACACAAAGGCCAAAGTCTGTTTTTTTTCTCTTCCAGTTTTATAGGCTTGAGAAGCCTCTGTTCTTATTCATTAATTCATCTTCAACACATTTAGCTCTTACTGCGGCAAATCACTTTGAATTACTCTAAAGAGCTTAAACTTTTGCTGTCTGTACAACTGCATGAATGAAGCCTGTCATTCTTCATGACCCACTTTCTGGGACACAAGATCTGGTGTTTGAAATTTCGCTAATAAGACTTGGGTCAGAGGTCAGCACTGCTGCCTCTGAACAAACAGAGACGTTGGCTGTAATGAGGCTCAAACCAGGGACTTCCTTCTGCAAAGATGTTCCTCTATTCTTACAAACGTATGGTTAAGATTAGTGATGTTGACACAACCTTTCACCTCCTGCTCACACAGGTGTATGGTGCTAACCAATTAAGCTTTCTCAGGAAACCGTAGGTTCAGTTACAGGAGATTTTTTGACAGATGCTGTCACCCAGCTGATAGAAAAGCTAAGGTAAATAGAAATGTATTGGATTTGAGTGCAATTATAGTTACCATGCACTTTGATGGATAAATACACTATTGCCAATGCTCTCTATGGAAAAAACTGGCCACAACTACAGCAGTTCACTCGGGATTTTGGGGCAATTGGTAAAACATTATAGCACTGTCTTTCAACCGAAGCGGCCCGCTTAATTTTTCTACAGGAAAAATAACCCGTTCTACATTCACCGTCAACTGGTTCAACTTTAACTCAAAAGCTCCATTTCAGGCACACAACATTGATTAGCTTACATTTGGAGTGCTGGTCACACAGTGCAGCTGCCCTCATGTCACACAGGCGGATGGTGCCTTTACTGCTACTGTAGACAAAAGTGTTGCATTGGTTTGGGTGGAACTCTGCTGCTGTGATCACCTCAGTCAACTCCTCCATGTTGGCTGGCTTAATATCAACAATATCTGAGAAGTGAGGTTAAGGTCAAATGGCTAAAAACAGATGTTTTCAAAAACCTCCAGAAATCAAATCAAATAAGAGTTTCTATTCATCTAACAAGTAAAAAAGTAACCTTCCATTTTCCCAGTGGCAGATGGGTTTCACAAATCTCTGGGTCTGAAAATATTGATTTTAGGGGGTTAATTCAGTTTAAAAAAGGTCTGTCAACATTGACACAACCTGTATCTATAAATATAAATTGCAAAGTAGCATTTGTTCAATTAACTTTTTAAACTTAGAAAATGTTACAGCCCCAATGTGAAGACATTCTCTTTGCTTTAGGAACATCTAGTGGTTGAATTTATTATTCTGCAGGCACTGGGTAATGCTGTCTGGATGTGCCAAATTTGATTGGCATTTGAACATGATGGATTCAGGGAATCATAATCTGACAGCGAGTCAGAGCTGCCTCGAGCAAAAAACAAACTCACCAAAAAATAAACCCTTACAAAATTATGTTCAGTCAAAACTTTCTGCCAGTTTGACACTTTATCTTAATTATAAACTGAAAACCAACTGCATATACACATTTCAACATTAAATATCAGTACTGGCTAAAAGTAATTCCCAGTAAAGATTACATTCTTGCTTTGCCACACTCAAGGTATTTTGGAATAAAGATGATGATGTATAATCAAGAAGGAGAAAGATGTTGACTATGAGAAATCATAGATCGAAATGAAAGGATACTAAAGCTGCGGTCATTGATCTCCAGGTTCCAGAGGTTAACGCGCAGGTCATCTGCAGACAGGTAGGTCTCACAGTCGCTGTTGACTGAGATGGAGTTGATATGGTATGTGTGAGCATTTGAAAAGACTCTTCTTGGGCTGGCTTCCACCATCAAATCCATTGGCATGAATACTGGAACCTGAAGAGAGGAGAAGAGGGGGGGGTTCAGTATCATCTTATTTTCAGGGTAAAAACTTTTTTTCTTTTAAATTATACAGTATCAGACAGCTTTCTTTTAAATTAAGAGAGAAAGGATATGCCTCATTGCTTAGTATTAGTCTGTTAAAATAATTATGTGTAAGCAAACAATGATTATAAAGATGTATTATTCCTGAAACTATCAGGATGCACTTTAAAAAAAAGAGTACAACTTAGGTATAACTTATTACATTAACTGCTGCATTAGTTACGGTTTGTATAGTGTGTTATAATAATGTTATAGTTAAAAGTGTCTTTCTTTAAGGAAAACATGCCTGCTTAACATCTGCATGAAACATCTGCTAACCCTAACCCTAGAAAATAAACAACACCTTAGCACGGTCACACTGGCCATCCATACCGTGCCCAAGCACGCTTCAACGCTGAAGTCCAGTTCGTTTGACCAGTGTGACCGCTCCGTGCCGTACTCAGGCACGGTACACTTCCTTGGCTCTGGCACACTTCGGAGTGGTGTGCTTCAGCATGGTACACTTCATGCACGAGCACTAACACGCGGGTACACAACCCTGACAGCTTTCATTATGGAGAAATCCGGAGTTTCATGGCTGTATCTGACTAAAATGACACAAAGTAGCTGTCACGCTCTGTGTTGTTCTACGATGTGCGGGCGTCCGCGCGGCCCGCACATCTTTAATTTATTTATTGCTGTGTCTGATTAAAATGGCTTAAAATAAGCTGTAAAGTCAGTAAAGTAGCTGTCACGTTCTGTGTTTTTCTCTGATGTGCAGACGCGGAGTCGACTGCGCGTCTGTTTTTCTCTCGCTCTCTCGCCCTCCTGTTTGTAAACTGAGCACGCTTCATAATAACATACAGCGTGCATGTGTTGTATTACGACGTTATGTACAAGAGGTAATCGTGCTTAGGCACGGATAGTCCCGTGTAGTGTGACCGCGGGCCGCGCCGGCCAGCGGGGGAATGGCACTGTGGGGGGGCAATCGTGCTTGGGTACAGCACGGTACGGATGGCCAGTGTGACCGCGCCCTTAAAGACAGGTCCTTCAAGATTTTATAAAACTGTTGAGGAGAAATTACACATAACTATCCTATAATTCCATTAAAGAGAGTATAACACAATTAGTCGTAATCAAACCTGGTTAATACAATAATTAATTAAGTAATAAAATCTTCATCATTACTGGGACAGATGTAAAGTATACACACCCGCAGTGTGTTGACCGTGTGGAAATCTCTGTATCTTCCATCTTCTTCCTTCAAATTGTAGCCCTCTGGTCTCTTGTCACGCTCACTAATTTTCCACAGCTTTATGGTTTTGTCTGGTGATGAAAAAAGAGCAGATATTGTGGGAAGGTCTTTAGTGATTGACAGAACTTCATAAATCAACAGCATCTGCCGCCACATGACGCCTCAGATGAAAAGGAGTTTTGTATCCCTCATACAGTGAGTATAATCTGAATTAATTTGTTTGCTAACCATTGGTAGACAAAAGAAACTGTGCTGCGTTCTGCTGAGGCAGCCATCGAATCTTGTTGATCTTCTCCTCGATCTCGAGGCTTTTCAGGTAGTCGAACTCCGGCTCGTGGCTCTGGAAGGTGCTGTAAACATTGTACTCTCCTCGACACTGTGGCTGATTCTTACTCTGAACAATGACAAACATAAGAGTCGAGTTTTAGTGTTATTAAGGAGAAAATATGAGATCAAGAGTAAACATTTCAACTCAACTTTCAACAGATGCAGATTTTGTTATTGCCAGGAGTATTTGTTTTGCTGAAATTCTTCTTTTCAATGTACAACCATCATGGCAACCATTCTATAATCTAATTTGAAAAACAATGGTGTCATAGGAAGTAAAAATTTGAACTATCAAGATACCAGAATCTTAAGCAGCACTAAATAACTCTTTCAATACCAAAATGTCTTATATTGTTAGTAGCAATAAAAGGCATAATAACTAGACGTCATTCTTTGAGCTCAGTCAGTAGAGGTAATGTGATATATTGCTCAAAGCACTAGTTGCTGGTTCGACCCCCTAATCAGCATCCACTTGGTGAATGTCAACCCAACCCTTTCCTGCTACATTTCCTGTCACTTTTTCAGCTGTCCTATCAAATATAGGCAGGCAAAAGAGAAACAAAATAATAAGATGAATTGACTGATCACTGATCTAAATCACTCCCTTACCTCACAGCTTTGGGTAGAAAATCTGGTTGTTAAACATTTTTGTAAGAGATCTGGCGCTTATGCATTTATTACAGTCAGATGAAACATCAAAACTTACCTCTGGTTCCTGCTGAAAGATGACAACACGACCCCCCTTGTCCCCAGTGGCAAGCAGCTCCCCAGAGTGGTTGAATTCAACAGTGGATATGATGTCAGCTGTCAACAAAGTTATTAGATTAATATCAAATCTTTTTTTTTTTTTTTTTTTTAACTTAGACCTTTTTTCCCCAGTTATCACGTGTCTGACTTTATAAATTACATTTTTGTTCAAGGGGAAAATACTTTTATTTTGTATTTTGTATCTGGTTAAACATTTCACTTCCAGATAATGAGGCACAACACTGTTATAGCAGTGTTTAAAAAGATCTAACATTTGCTCCTGGTCTGGCCACCTATGATGAGTGAAAACCACATCAACCATGAAAACACAACAAAGCATTGACGCACATGTGCTGTTTAAATACACGACAATGTGCTAGTGCAATGGAACTTTAAGTCAACTAAACACTTGCTATGTGCAGCTATTCAGCACTTTAAAATCGACAAGCATTCTCATCAAATCCCACAAAAGAACAATCAATCCCTGTTTACAGGCTGGCACTATTCTGAGCGAGAGCAATCCTTAATATAGACTGTGGTGTTGTTCCTCCTTTAACATAGCACACAAAGCGCCTGATACGACCTGACTCCAAGCAAAGTCTCATCCAAAGAAAAAGCAGACAGAGTGAAGGAGACTCAAATAAAACTACAACACTATTGTAGTGTTGTGTTTACAGCCCATGTACTGCTATGTATTGACACAAGGAGAGGCTCACATTCATACTGGTTCTCAGTTAGAGCTTACTGTAAACAGCGGTGTAGTCTTCTCCACACAAATAAGTTCAGCATGTACTGTAAACATACCTGTTTAAGGTAATTTTGAATTTATTGTGGACAATGGGAAAGAGCTGGTTACATTAAATCCCTAGTCTTTCTATTATTATGGAGGTAACATAGCCTGAGCTGCATATATCAAACTGTATTTTGCACACTTGACTGCTTTTTTATAATAATTCTTTATTTATCTATCATACTATGCACTGGCAGAGCTAGTATTTTGTACTGTTATCTATGAGTAACAGCTACTTATGCACATGGACCATCCATACCACTTTTTTTTTATCCTGTATTGTGGGCTCATGTTTTTTGTATGGGTGGGATATGTGTGTATATATGTGTTGTGTTGTGTGTTTGAATGTATGCTGGCTGCTGGAACACCTAAATTTCCCTGCTGGGATGAATAAAGTAAGATCTTATCTTATCTTAAAACTTTGTAATGTAAAAATCATCAACCCTGTGAGCTTATATTGCACTTACTCGGATACATTTTCCCATGTACCATGTTAAAATCATCAACCACATTGGAAGGGTCAGACTTCTCCTTATGGTTTATCTTTCATCAGAAAAGTAACTTTCCAATCACAGACAAAGCTTGTCAGCCAAGACTTTATTGGGAACTAAAACTTAGTAATAAAGAGGTCAAATAAATCCAATGTGAAATTGGTTATCCTCACAAACAAAGTTAAAATATAAGACCATCTACATGTCTTGATACAGAGAGCGATAAGGGGATCATTTTATGATTTAGCTCGACACTAAAATGTAACATACTAGCTTTTAAAATAACCTGCAAACTGATGCTCAACATTATAAATCAATTCAATGACTTCTTGTCTTGTCCTGCATGGATAACAAACAAAAACCTGAAACCTTCCCACCATGCAAACATTACATTAAACACACTGGACAATACACAGAAGGATGGAAAAGGTTTGCAAAAAAAAAAGGAAGAGTAGCATGGTAGTCATCCTTCCCCCTGTTTTATTAGTCGGAAACTTCTCAACTTTAACACCAATGACGTTTTCACTTTGGTTTGCGAACAGGATCTTCGTATGCTGCTCATAAAACTGCACATCAATGGATATCTCACAAGAGACAAGTGTTGATAAGAGTTAGCATCAGAGCTAACTTAAAAAAAACAAAAAAAACAAAACAAGCATGCACAGGATACCAAAGCCACTGTTCAGTGACCACCACATGGACTTACCTTCAGCGACTTCGTCATCTATTGCTCCTTTGACTTGGGAAAAGCACCACTGCACATCACTGTTCCCACCACCGGCCCCTGCAAAGAGAAACAATCCCCAGGTTTCACCACACCTCCACAGGATACAACTTTACACGCGTTAGCCTGATGCTAACGTAGCAGAACTACACACAGGAGGCAAAAGGCAGATTGTAGCTGAACACTAATCACGCAATACAACGCAGCAAATTATCATGCATGTGCACTAGTTGAAGGATGTTTGTAATGCATAATGTTCACTTTCACACTGTCAGCTGCAAACAGTAGCATAGCTTGCAGGCTAACTTAGTGCTAGTGATACACAGCAGTGAGACGAGCCCCATCGTGTGAGCTCAGCAGGATAATGTAGATAAATATTCAACCTCGCACACACTGACACTGTTTTCTGTTGCGTTTTTTTTACCTGCCATGGTGAGAGACTCAAGCAGAGAGTCTCTGTAGCGGGCTCGGGCCCTACAGGCAGAGGAGTGCTGACCCGGGTCGGCTCGGTCGGGTCTGTCCGAGCAGAATAAACCTCTCAAGTGTTTTCTACTTAACTCAAAAGGAACCGTACAAGTCCACGTCCAATCGATACTCGCGGTATTAACCCGTCTTCAGCTAAATAAAAGGAAGACTTGCAGACCTCGATAGTGAATTTCAGACTTTGCACTCTACTTTGAGATTTCCCTCGTCTCTCTGCCTCTCCCAGCATTACGATTTCAAAATGGCGCAGCGCGGGCGGCGTTCATCAGCGAGCATCTGACAGACAGCGACGAGGGCTCATTAAACACTATACACCTGAAACACTCCTGAACTGGAAAATACTTTTTTTATTTCTTTATTTTTTTTTTTTACTTTACCCGGAGTCCCAATTAGTGTTTGATTTGAAGTGTGAATATTTTTTTTTTAATTTAAATTATAATGACTTTAAAGAAAATCTTGTCGCAGCTTAAACCCCGCCCGTGTGGATGGTTATAGGGGATAAATTGAACTAACCAACGCAGACGGTTATTTCTTCATGTCAAAAGGATAACTGTATTTAATACGAAAAATATGTTTACTAATATTTTACATTTACAATACATATTTTTGCAGTAATTTCAAATGATCAACATATCAATCATAATTTTTGTGACTTTTGTGTTGATAATATCAGTGGTAACCTCCGGAGTTAAAAATAAAAAATGAAGCCAATGCGGAAGTGCAAAACCTGCAGTCCCTCGAGTGTCCGCTTGAGGCGGGTTGCAGTAGTACCGGAAGTAACACACACACACGTTCAATTTTTTTTTTTTCCAGCAGAAATGTACATGTTTACAGCCAAGTTAAAAAAAAAAAACGAATTGGTCTGATTAGGTCGTGTCTCTATCGGCACACACTGTTCAGAGGGTGAATTTTCTGATAACTCATCCGCTATTGATTTTATTTTTTAGGGTAAGCGTAATGTTTTATTTATTTGTTTATTTAACAGGGACACATGCAATGAACATCGCTTCATATGTAAAATACAAAGTACATGCCATGCATACAGGATTCTAGCTGTAGCTTATTTTCAACCCCTGTCCCTGGCCGGGCTTTTAGGATCAAAACAGAATCATAACACTTAAATAAATACAGAAACAGTAAAGCTATACAAATACAGACATTATAACCTTAATTTACAATGAGGTGACGTGATTGGCGGGCAGGCGTGGTGTAGCTGTTTGTCAGGGACACCTCAGCTCCCAATCTTAGTCTGTCATTGGGTTGACTGAAAGTGAGACAGTATTTCCAGCAAGACGAGCGTCATCGATGGGCTGCCAAAGCCCCCTTCAGTAACAGATGGCTGACATCACTCAGGCTTTGCCATTAATATTTACACTTACGTAAAGCACCAATTAAACACAACAGACAAAAAGCTATGTGGCACCTTTCCTTTGTGTGTATTAGGAGGTTGCCACCCTGAAATGGCCCGGCCCTGGTTTAGGCACCTTATAAACTGTTTATATTTCATCTCTTTAGGCCTTTTACTTAATTGTTTGACTTGTTAAAAATTGGAAAAGCTGGATCTATTTATACAAACGTCAAAGTACAATGGCAATGATTCAGCATACCCGATATGAGGTCCATGAAACTCAAAGTTACTAAATGTAATTCAGCCATCACTATCTGCTGCTCATGATTGTTTTCATGACCCCTTTTCCACAGGGAGACCCCATTTCTGGTCATTTTACCAAACACAGATTTATTTGGGATAATGCATTATGCAACACGTTATACAACGCCATAATGAAGCCCTTAAAACGACATTTATAGACATAACCCGTCCAATAGTTCATAGCACTTTTAAAATTACAACAAAACAGTAATACTATACTTGTAACCCCTGGGCTGTTGTTCACTATGTCTGCCTAATATAGAACAGATTTGTTTTACAATTTCATTCAGTTGAAATTATTAAACAAAGAAACAGCTGCAATGCCTTATTTACACCAACATTCTTGTCTAACTTTACATGTGCTTACCAAGGGGGAAAAAGGCTACCTAGAAAGCATTATCATTCAAGAATACAATAATGTATTTGTATGCTACAAAACCATAAAGATATGTTCCAAAGCTTCAATGTGAACCTTTTGCAACAATGCAAACATCTCAGTTTCTAGATTACAAATAAAATCACTGTTAACAAACACATTTAATGCAATCTGGCCTGTTTGGTAGAGTTTCCCTGTAGACTTGCTGTAAATATGCTGTATATGTTTGCTACAGAATGATACATAAAACTGCTTGGAAGCTGTGATAATTTATAGGGCAGAGTTTGAATTAAAAGCAGAAGCAAACAAGGTTACTCCAGCTTTTATGTTTGTAGGAGACATTAATGAGTTATAGGAAGTGCATAGACCACAAGTCCCTGAAAATCTGCCTGATCTCTGTCATTAATGAGCTCCAGGCATGTGAACAGGCTCCTCTGTTAGTCTTTTTACTTCCCCACCATGAAATAAGTGGTCCATCTGGCAAGTAGCAAAGCACCAAACAGCACAGTGTAGCTGAAGAGAACAAATTTAAGGATTTCTTTGAAAGTCCGGAGGAAGCGGATAACCAAGGGCTCGACTTCCAGATCCAGATGGAACTGCTGCGTCTTCTGTCTGTGACCAGGTTGAATTAGGTGTCCCATGTTTTCACCTCGACCCATTCTGCCAAACACACACATTTGTCAAACATAACAAAAGAATACAACAGAATGGAAACTTCAATGTATGTCAAGGAGGACTCTCTGAAAGCTTGTAAAATTACAACCCATAACAATATACACATAACAGCCAAGACAGAGTATAAATACTGAGGTCAGAAAAATCTAATTGTTCCTTGCATTAAACTATTTAACTTGCTGCACTTTTGAAAGTGGCAAAGACCCCACAGAGGAGCTGCAGTAAAAGCTGAAGTTTTTAAACACTGTAAATAATTGATCTGTTTATTGCTCTAAATGGGTCCCCTATTGATCTGTTTTTAAATAGTCACAATGTTGAACATCTTCCACAGTCACTTCTGACTATTTGTCCATACTGATGACATTTAAACAGACACACACTGAATACGTTTTTGTGTGTGCTTTGCCGAAGTTATTCGCAGGCTGAGAAGCTAAACGCGTAAATAAGAGCCATGATAGAGTCAGGATAATTGTGCTGGTCAAAGTAATGTTTTTTGTTTTGTAAGTTGTATTATTTACACATGTACATTTGTTGTACAGGTATAGGTTAACAGACCAAAATGAAAGCAGACCAGATTTCATATATGAATCATAAACATTTTCAAGATTTATCTGGAAAAATGAATAAATCATACCTTGGTGTTGTTTTTTGCAGGGCAGTAACAGGTCAGAGAGTGGACTCCTACGCTCAGCCCGGAAATCCAAGTTGATGTGTGCTGCTTTGAGCCTTTCAAGCCCTCCTGGCAGAGGAGGAGCCAAGAGCAATAACTGATCACAGGGATCTGAATCCCCTGAGGTTGATCTAATGGGAGTTTAAGTCTGCAGTGCACCTGCTCCTCCAACAGACAAACTGAAGTGTTAGATTGTATGCAAAACCACCAGAGATAAGTCTTTGCTAGTATATAGAATCAAGCATTTCCAATGTCTTCTAGCCTATCAACTTGAAGGAGGACATTGACATAGATTTACCCAAGTTAGTTCCCCAAAATATCCGAGTGCTGTCAGCAGGTCTCCCTGTGTTCATAGTGTAGGGCACGGAGAAGATATTGACTGAAACAGAGATCAAACACCCTCCTGCAGCACTGTTATCCTCTACCGGAACATGAAGCAAATGGCCTCCTAATTCAATCAGTGTCATGTGCTGTCAAATCACGGGCTGCTGTGGGCAAAGCTCTCCAGACAGCACAGGGCCATTACCGGCTGATCAGGGGGCCTGTTACTGTGCTAATTGCTCCTTCAGAGAGCTGGATCACTGATGACGGATACACTCCCATCTCTGCTTGTTTCTGCTCATCATGTCAACAATCAGCTTGCCTTTCTTAAAATTATCTTCTAAAGAATAGGCAAAGAGGCTTCCCATGTGACCAAGTAATACAAGACTACTTCCTTTGACATTAGTTTGGACTTTATTTTTTTACGTCAGTGAAGCCAAACAAATTGCCAACAAAACCTTCAATCATATTTAATCATGTCTTACGTGACAAACCACAAACTTTCCAGAGATTTGAATCATAAATACACATGTACAACAACCCCACAGCAGATTCATGACCTCAGTGATGCACGTGTAGCCCGGAGCCAAATGCATGAAGCTCAAATAACTTTGTGTTATATTACCTGGGTAGCAAATGTCAGACTGGAAACAAATTAAAGGTGCCCTGGAGAGTCTGTGACCACTAGAAGTGCTATGGAGCAACGTTTTGTCTGTATCATGCACGTGAATAATATAAGGCCGCAGGCTACGTGATACTCTAATCACCATATTCTTAAGGCAACTATTTTTCTCTGAAGTCACGCTCATTACAGGAAACTTTATTAACAAATGAAAATGACATACTGATGTTCCAAGTTAGGAATCATATTAGTGCGGGGAATCTTAAGTGTCAATTGATGAGCAACTTAAAAGACAGTGTATAGATAAATATGGAGGGACATTAGTCAATATTTAAAGGTAAAACAATTTATAACCCCATACTATTATGAAACAGCTAACATAAGCATTGAGCCACTTCCGAGCATACATAACTGTTTTATAGTAATACATGAAATAAAAAGGAATACGAATACAAAAAGGAAGTACTGTTAGCTGGAGGGTTTCTCAATGCTAATGATTGCAGTTTTGTCATGATAACTAATGGCTTATAAAGTATGTTTAAAATATGGCCCAAAGATTGTCACTAATATTATCTCTTTGTTGATCAATCCAGAGGTGAATGAAGTGACAACTATTTGTCTGAATGTATGTGTATAAGGAAGTGCAATACGGAACAAAGCAGTACAACATCCTTTTACTCTTCATCCGTTCCGAGTTTCCTACCATGAGCATGATGTCAGAAAAACAGTACCATTGTGTGACTAAGGTAAAGTACACCAACCTGCTGTTATTGAATAGTGTATATTAAGCATATGAAAGCACCAGCAAAGGGAAGCAAGAAAACAAAGAGAAAGGCCTGCAAGATTGAAAATTCATAGGTTGATAAACATTGCTAATGTTGTAAAGAAAGAGAAGCTTTTGACATGTTTGTAATGCCACAAGGAAATACAGATTACAATTTGGTCTGTAACACAGACTGTAAACATTACTAAGTTGGTTTACAAGAAAGCTCCACTGGTCACCTTAAAGAGCATGATGTTTTTTTTGAACAGGTTCAAACATCAGTGTAACACCTGCAGTGCACTGACACAAACATAAAAACAGCAGCTGAGGTTTTCAGATGGATGGCGTGTTTGATGTGTCCAGGTGTGCATGCACGAGACTCAGGGGGTCTGGGATTCAGGTCGGTCCATGAGGGATTTGATCCAAGTTGTGCCGTTTAGGAGTTTTGTGGTGGCTATAATGTACTCCATTCCGCTGTCTTCCATTTGAGAGAGGAAGCGAAGAGCTGCGATTTCTGCATACGACACCCCTCCCAGGAAGAACACCAGGGTTGTGCGATTCTCCCCCTGCTGGCCTGTGTGAAGGTAAAAGGACGTGCAATCTAAAGTAAATTAAATGCAAACTAAAGGGGGAGACATTTCTAGAGTTTTCTTTATTTCACTCTGACATGGTAAATCAATCACATTTCTGCCATCCATCCCTTGAAAAGACAGCTGGATGTCTTCTAGTTACCTTATTCTGAGGCCACTTTTTTGAACATGTGAAAACACTACTTTAGCTTTCATCCTCCCTCTAGATCAGTCCTCTATTATCAGCTTTATAATTTAATACAAGGCAGGCATGTAGAAACAAGTCAACTGTCTCATGCCCAGACTCAGTTTTAATTAGCACATTTTAAATTGAATGTATAATTAAACTAATTAAAAAGATCTGTGCAACACCTATTATTGCCAAAACTAAAAGATGAAGGACAACTGAAAGAAAGCACTGTTCACGGGCCGTGTGTTTTTATTGACTTTTTTTCTTTTACACGGACACAAACACTAAGTGCGTCTGTGCTATTGTCAGCTTTGTGTCATCAATCTGCGTCTGTTCACATTTGAAATAACAGAAACAAAGCCTGTGTCTTATCTCCATACAGCAGACAGGTGGTCGTTTACTCAGGTTTTGTTTTAGTATGCAGCAGGACAAACAGCAGCTTGTAATGGTACTTACGTTTCTTATGAAGCCCAGCTGGTAGCTGTTGTCTCTCCTCAAAGTGCGGGCCAGGGAGCATCTTCAGCACCTCTTCAATGCTGCGCCAACCTGGTCTGGCCAAGACCTGGGTCAGTCTAATGCTCAGTGGTGCGTAGCCACTGTACACATAGGAGATGTCGTTTGGGTTCTGCAGGAATCAAAAAGTAAAAGAGATCAAGGACTGCTCCAAAAAGACCAATGTCTTTCTTCTTTTCATGAGTCTCAGTCAGGCTGCTTGATTATGGCAAAAATCATAATCACCATTAATTTGGATTAATAGAGATCATAATAATTAGGATTTAAATCTGAATCCAAATCTAATTATAATTATCAAACATGATTACTCTTTGATTTTACAACATCTGCATCAGTTGCATTTATCAAACTTAGTAACTAACGCTGAACATAGTAAGTACACAGGTTAGAAAATATATTACATATATATTAATAATAATTATTATTATATATACACCGGTAATAATAATGCATTCACAACAAAACATTAAAGAGATACTTCACCCGTTGAAACATGAATCTGTATTGACATTGGGTCATATATGTAGTAGAAATGTGAATTAAATTTTGAAGTTGGTGCCTTCTTGGTAGTGAAAAGGCAGAAAGTGTTTTTTTGGCTCGTGGATGAAAGACACCAAATCCCAGAATGCACAGCACCGCAGGCAACTCCCACTAAGGTCCTCTAGTTCAGAATCAGAAATACTTTATTAATCCCAGAGGGAAATTCGATTGATACAGTTTCTCCAAAATATACAATATAGCAGTAGAAATATAGAATTAACAACATTTACAGACATATTTACTTCAACACATAAGACCGTTTCATCAACTGATTCAGAGATTTCTTCCAGAAGGAATTGGTATCTTGGAAATTCCTGGCAGAAAACAGACTCTATGTCTGTGTCCGCAGGCCAACAGTGAGAGCACCGACACTACCAGTCCGCCCCAGCTGGAGCCGGCCTGGGCGGCCAGCAATATAGCAATATAGCCGAGAGACGGCTGCTGCCAACAGGCCGGTCTTGTGTCCCGGCGAGCGTCCCCGGCAGCGTCCCCGGTGGGCAGCGGCCGCAGCAGCCAAAAGACAAGACCGGCCTGTCGGCAGCAGCCGTCTCGCCGCTATATCTATATTTTTTTGCCATTATCAGCTTTCTCCATAGAGCCTGTTACCATAGCTTCCAAGCAATATGACGGAAGTTAAATTTTGATTCTGGGCGTGAGTTCCCACCCACTGATCTGTGATTGGTCTGTAGCTTCAGTGGTTGAAAATATGAGGAACAAGCATTGTAGTTTCACCCCGCTAACCGCAACAGCTTCCAGTGACGCAAAAATCGTCATTTTGCATCACTGGAAGCTCCTTTTCAGACTCAGAAATACAAAGATTTCCCATCTCAGGGGAAAATGAGGGAGAGATGCACGACCATTCAAAAATACTTCCAGGTTTCTAATGATACAAAGCTTAACGCAAATGGGTGAAGTATCCCTTTAACTATGTTTTTGAGTAATTGGTGATGTACATTTGCTGCCAAAATATAACATAAAACATTTACAACACATAACAAAACCTTTGGACAAAACGAGCACAACTCGGCATTCAGCACAATAATTGATCATCTCAAATATCTTGTTTTCATGATTACGGGAAGCCAAAATCATAATTGAAATTGAAACTCTATTCATGGCCAAGCCCTACATACATACCTGTTCATTGGCGTCCTCCATCCACAGTTTAAGGGTTTTTCTGATAGTGGGGTAGTTGTTCCTTGAGCTGCTCTGTGGCTTCAAGAGACCCCCCTTCTCCAGGTTGTTCAACGTTAGCATGTGTTCATAGCCATAAGTCTTGACAAAAAAAAGAAAAGGAAGGAGTTTTTACAAACAGTCACCTACAAATTTCATAATATATCTATTAATCAAACTGAGTATGCCTTGATTAAAAAAAAGGACTTTACTTGAAGAATCTCCCTCTTGTAGTAGTCAAACACTTTCTGCTTGAGGCCATTGTTACAGACTGACTGCATACACACCAGACGCAGAATCTTGATCAGCGGATCTTTCTGGGCAATGCAATCTTCTATATACGTGTTAACCTGGTGGTAAAAAGTACAGTTCATCAGAACAAAGGTCCAACCATATACAAGAGCGTATACAACAATACTTTGTATGTTTTAAAAGAATCTCATTAAAGTCTGTACCAGATGCAAATTTGAAGAAAAAAATGCAATGAGACATTCCCTTTTATTTGTAGTATTTAGTCAAATTATATGTAACCCTCGTATTATATATATGAATCTATTTGGACATTCATGTGAGGATCTTTGTACAATAGTTAGATTAATGAATACCTTGTCAGTGTCAACTCCTGTCATGAACTCCTGCTCCACTGTTAGGTTATCAAAAAAGGCCTCAGATGCTGAAACAAGACACACGACACAAGACACAGATACACTTCAAGATAAAAAAAATTAAAAAAACATTTGGGATTCTAGAGCTTCATATGATCACTTTTGGAAAATTTGCAATGAAAAAATATGGTATGTAAAGTTCTTAAATGTAGTGTAGTTTGGGGGGGGGGGGGAAGAGTTTTGGTGATACGCACTGGTGATGTCCTTGATCAGCTCTGCTATAGATGTGTGGTTAGCCAGCGAGCTTCTTGCTGCCTGCATGTGAGGCAGCTGAGATACAAACTGCTTTATTTCTCCCACCGTTTTGGCATTATGGCGCTCCTGAAAAACAAGAAAAATCACGTTAAAGCAGGCTCCACCATGATAGAAAATTAATATGGAGCAGAGACAGGTGTAATGCAAAGTTGTTTCTTATGATTTTTAAATGCAATCAAACATAGAAACAATATACAAACAACTACTTCAGTTCAGGGTAGATCTAAGAAAAACAAAATATTTTCAGACAAACAAAATCAATACTGTTCCATTAAACTAATCTAATGGAAGAGTTCTTTTTTTTCACATTGGATAAAAAAAAAGCTCCCTGCTCAGGTCACTGCTTTCCAGTATAGGAACACCTCTGCACAACTTTCAATCATAACCTCTGTAGTGTGTAGTTACAATCAATGTGTTTCATGATCTGATACAAGAATTGTAATGTGTTTTTAATTGTTTAGCAATCTGCTGGAACAATGAGCTCATCTCAAGGTGATTGTCACTAATTCCCTATCTACATGGATTTCCATTTTTGACCTTTGTGGTAAAATGCCAGAGAGATAACAATCATATCAGATCCCCTTGGATGTCTGCATGTCTTGAAGTGGTGTAATATGGCTCCATGGAGGTACAACACACTACACCTACATTCTAGACACAACATTATAAAGCAGGAAAATGAGCTATAGTAGAAAAGGCAAAACCAACCTCAAACGCAGCAGAAATTATTTTGGCCTTCTTGCTAAGTGCTGCCCCTACAGCGTTGAAATTTTTGTCCCGAATTTCTGCATACAGTTCCTCTGCTGAGTTAAGCTGTAGCTTTTTGGGCTCTGTTGGCAAATCTTTACTCCCCTCACCCTGTTTCTTCTGTGCAAACTTCTCAGGAGGCAACTTGACATAACCTGTGAGTATGGAGGGGCAAAAGAAGGGAATATAAAAATCATACAAATACATGCAATAAACAGGGCAATTACATTATTATAACATTCAAACGTGAAGAGAAAGGATTTAAAGGTTCGGACCGTTAGTGATTCCATAGATCTCGTCAATAAGACCCTCGTAGGTGAGCTGTGTTGCCAGGGGGGTGAGCAAGTCGACATTACGGTCCAGGAGGAGAAGAGTATCAAACACAGGGAGGATCTGATTCTGAATGCCGGCAAACTCCCTCTTCATCCTCAGCATCATGTTGGCAACATGCTAAGAAAAGCAAATAGTTTCTTTTTAAAATCACATTCACACACCTGAGTGCTACTGAAACGCTGCCCCTGTGCAAAAAGTACAAAAAAAAACATTTTTCCATAACAGATGATGAGGTTTTGGTTTTAAAAAAAATGTCACTAAACTCACGCGAGCACATTCTCCTTTCCCATAGATCTGTGGGATGGTTCCATACAGTGCCTGTAGAGTCATGAGGCCTTTGGCTGTGTGGTAAAGGCTTGTTTGGTCATTTTCTAAATAGCACTCCTGTAAAAGACAAAGGTGTAATAGGACATCATAAATCACCGTCATGAAGTGTGAAATTCAAATGATTTTCTCTTAAACACTTGGACAAAATGTGGTTAAATCACTCTTGATATAAAATCTAAGCTTTATTTCATAATAACACAGTGATACTTCTGTGGAACCAGAAATACCACGGGGGGGGGGGGAATTCAGGAAGACCATCGATGTGGGAAGTGTACACATTAAACCCACCCTAAAAGCACTTTCATACTCCATGGAGAGCAGGTCGCCATCATAGGGAATCAGGTCCAAGATATACTCGTCAATGTTAATGAAAGAGGCTAACACTCCCTGCTCCTTCAGCCTCTGTTCACACAGCATGCTCCGCCGAGGCACAAACAAGATGTGGAAGTCTCTCGCCGAGTGCATTTTGTCCTCACTAAAAGGTGCACAATCGGAAGACAAATGTTAAACAGTTGTGGACAGCTGTGCAGAATGAAAGACAGACAAATGAGAAAACATGGGGCAACAAAAAAAAAAAAAATCAGACATATGCAGACCTGAAAACATTCTCGGCGATGATGTCCATGAGCTCCAGCCTGGGACGAACAAAGAAGATGATGTTTTTGACGTCAGCAGAGGGCAGCCTGCCACTCTTGAGGGTGAACATCTTTTCCACTTCATGTTCCTACAAACAACAGCAATAAACACATATTGGAGTTCTACATTACAAAAAGCTTAAGTTATTTTGATACCAGCATGTAGGGTTTACTGTGCCTATAAATTAAGTTATATTCTCACTCAAAACTTGTGCACAGAAAGCACTTACCTTCAGTAGAGAGTACTGTGCTATCAGTCCAAAAGGTCCCGTCAGATATTCATCCCAAACTATGGCCTGAAAGAAAGAAAATAGTTATCTGCATGTGGAAGGAGTCAGTGCTGCCTCTGACTGCGCTATTAGGCATTACATTGATAGGTGACCACCATTAAAACCAGTCCTGTAGCCACATAATATAACTAAACCCCTATCCTGAGACTTAAAATTACATTTCAGCCAAACACATCCATGACAGCCTTTAAGAAGGAGAGCTAGCTGAACAGTCAGAACCACGCATGCGCCCACTGTCTTTGTGTCAATGTTTATGTTACCTTGCTTCCCGCACACTTGTCCAAAAACTCCCGAAGCTCTTTCCGTGCTGCTTCTCTCAAAATGTTTAAATTAACTCTGCCGTACGAAAGGTGCGCAGCCATCTTTTCACATCAGCAACAACACTACCGATCAGGTGACCACAGAGAGGAAGTCAGTCACGTGATTCTCCGAAGACGAAACAATGTCAAGATGTTTCACACACAGCGTAACACAGCCGAGCCCAAAACCAGCACGGTACCGCCGGAAATCCAGCGAATTCCTTCAAGTATTTGATGATGTCTTGTCTTAAAGTCTGGCATCAATCTAAAAAAAAAAAAAAAAAACACAAATAATGGTAATGTCCAAGGTAGCCCAAAGAATTGTTGTCGACCGCAGCAGTCAATTAGTGTTGCGCATGCGTACATGATGCTTGTAAAAACAACTTTTCTGAAGCCTCTGCGTCCTGTATGCATATTGCTATTGGTAATAAGAGCCGGTCTAAAGACTTGTTATGCTGACTGTCAAACGGAATGTGTACCAAATTAAAGTAGCCTATCTTCATTTGGGGCACCAATACGGAAGTAGGAGGGAATCATCTCTTTCCTTCTCCTGCACTGTTTTCCCGTGTGTAGGTGTGGCAAACATACTGTAGCTAATAAACTGTGCTTTAGTTCGTAATGCTTAATTATATCTCGAGTAGTAGAGTAAGTTTATGATGATATTGCATTAAATCGATTACTCTTCTGTAGGGGTGACACATACATCTGTCCTGTTGTGGAGCAAATGGGTGACTTTCATCATAGCCTTTTGGAGCCTTTGGTGCATTAATTACCTCATCCCTTAGATGGCGCAGTGTCTCCACAGTAATAATGAAAAAAGAGGTCTTCTCTTGTAATTCAGACACTGATAACAGAATTTCACTAGGCTATCTTTGGCGATATCATTACTCCTTCAGAAACAGATTAACCAAACTAATGTGACTGGAACGAAAGAGCCAACGAAATGGTTTTTTTTTTTTTATATATAGGCCTATCCAGTTATTCTTGTTGTCAGTCTAATATAAGCATAGCCTACTACTGGTGGTTCATAACTATGGACTAACATTATTCCATAATTAAGAGCTTATAGTAAAAATAGATTGCATTCAAACATTAGAATAAAAAAAACATGCTTTATCTTGTTTGTGTAGGCAACGTAAAAGTAGTTCAATATTATCAGACGGATGCATAATGCAAAAAAAAGTGACAGTGATTTCTCAATAAGGCTGCATTGACGTGGAGCCAAATTTAGCCTCTACTCGCTGTTACAGAGACGATCGGATCAGGTGATGCCTATCCACTTGAGCATCAGTGTTATCACTTCAGATCCAGGGGTTTCCTTCCCAGGGTACCAAGGGCTTTCCATGCTCACGCAGAAGAGGAGACAAGTTCCCACGCATTGTGGAGGTCCGCTGTGCATCTTGCAACACAGACTAGGCTACTCCGCAGGGCAAAATAAATAAATAAAATTCAAATAAAAGCTCTTGGTGCCAGGCGCCATGCCCAATGACTGACTCTGTGGTCGTATCCAAGTGCTGCACAGAAATTTAGTCCGCATCATTCCCTGACAGCTCCCCGAGAGAGAGAGAGAGAGGGAGACAAGCAGTGCTGGATTCTCAGGTAGGAAGCTTTATTATTTCCCTCGAAGGATTTTCAAACATTACATCGTTTACAAATAATCATGACTAGGTTACTGCGTTTTTCCAGTGACTTATTACATTTGTATTTCTCTCTTACAAGTTGAATGAATGCAGCATTTCATTCACAAGAGAGATAGGGAGGGAGTGGAAATTATCTGTTATGAGTAAACACATTTAATTGCCTGTGTTTATTGATTTGATTGCACACATTGTCGTTGACTTTATGAGCCTGAGTCATTGACACTATAAATGTGTGAATTCCATGCAGTGCAACGCACTATGCATGGAGCTGCTTCTAATTTACCTATATGAGGTGAAAAAAAAGTGTATGATCGCCTTGTTAAAGCAAAAATTATCTCACTGAAAACACTGCTTTGCTGCAGAATATGTCATGCAGAGGCGTCAGTGGAGATTCTTATTTTCAATTGTTGCATTGATTTTACTACAGCACGTTTGGAGTTGTGATTATGTCCTTAGTTTATTCAAGAATGGACAATAAATGTTACCCTGGATGTAACTCCATAGGCTTTTCTAGGTCCCTCTTTTGATTAATTTAAATAAATAACTAGCTGGCTGGGTTCCTGTTTCCTTGTTGCAGATCTGATATGAGAAAACAGACCTGGTAAGTCATGTGGGAGCCTTTGGTTGCAGTCCCTGGGCGTTGCTGCAGGATTTTTAGGAGTGCATGCTGGGGTTTGATGTGCCTGCAGACTAGGAGGAAAAAACACAAGTGATGCTTGAAATGCTGATGTGGGCAGGGCAGCTCTCAACTCCAGCTGTTCCACAGTACAGGTGCTACAATCGTCTGCTTGTTGTGATATTACCTCATCCTGCAGCCGTAGGTTGTTACACTTTGTGGGTCAGAGCGAAATGTGTTGTAAACAGACCTTTTGGTTAATTTATTCTCGTTTTAATATGGAAGGAGAACAGAAAAAAGAAGCTGCCTCTCGGTTCCACCATCTCCAACTCCTCCTACAGACCTGAAGCATGGGGGATTAAATGGGGGAGGGGAAGAAAAGACTGAATGAACAGTCAGAGAGATATCTGCAGCTGCCTCCTCTCACATGAGCAACCACAGTAGTGATTGGACGACACCCTTCTGCTGGTACCTCTCTCTCTGGGTTTCTGTGTCTCTGCCAGCCCTCTTTTTTCTGTCCAGAGAAAGAGCTGATTTAGACAAGAGACAAAAGAGGCAAATTGATTCTTAGGCCACATCTCATGAAACAAGAGAAAATGAAAATGGCAAAACACTAGGCAACACAGGTGTTCAGGGAAAAGGTTAAAAAACGATGGCGAGATGAAGTAAGTGCACACTAACTGCATTATTTAAAGGTGAGGAATACACGCCTACTGTACCCATAATCCCAAGTCTTCTTTTTTTTCCCATTTCATCCATGCTGTCTTTTCAACCATGAAGAACCATCTTGTCATCTTGAATGCATCATCTCTTACAAATTTCAAACGTGTTTATTGATATAAGATATAATCCACTGTTACACTCACACTGCAACAATGGCATGTTCTGCACATGCTTTGAAATTTGACACAGGTATCGTGGACTACAAAAAAATAGACGTTTGTACACATAGCTTTTAATCATTGTGATTCTTCTGATCTTGCTGTTTCCATGGCCACTGTTGGTAAAGGTGCATGACTCTATGTTTCTCTGAGCTCTTCACAAACCATAAATGGAGCCCAAAACCCAAATGGCATGTTTTACTCTAAATATGTGCTTGTTTCTGTGTCCTGCCTTGGTGATTTAAACAATATATATATATATTATTCCGTCTTTTGTGGCTGATTATCCAAAGGGAGTGGCTTCGTCTTGAAATTCTGGAAGTGACTCATTTCACAGCCTCTCTGAAACTGGTAATTGGATTTGGCTAAATACTATGGCATATTGGAAAAGACAAACATAATGAATGTTCTCCACAAGAGAGAAAGGAGTTAGAAATCCCAAACTGAATTTTCACTTTTGTCCTCTTCCGTTTATAATCTCAAACATGTATCTGACTGATTATTATCATCTCTGTTCATATGCTGTAGCTGCTGCTCAGAGCGATGTCACACAAACAAACTTAGCATTTGAAGACACATCACTGAGCATCCCAACAGGGTTGGTTTGTCTCAGAAGTTTGGTCACAGTTTATTTTTAGTGTCGCACGGTTTTAGACGAGAGTAGGCTCTCTTATTCCAAAAGAGATTCGTTAAAAACCCCCAGGAGTGTTGTACCTGCTCATTTGCTGGTGGGACAAGTGGGGGCGTCAGATATCCAGCTGCTGAACCGTGCCAGATCTCCGAAACAGAGCAGAACACACACAGAATCACAGCCATTCCACTGAGGGATTGATATGAGAGCTGACTGGTTCTTTATATGTTCAGAGCTAGGTAGTTTTTTTTTTATCTGTACTGACCACCAGCTGCAGGTCACTTCTCATTTGTAGAGAACAGATGCTTAGTGTCTTTACGACGGACCTTTACTGCGCTGATTTAATGCTCCTGTCTGGTTGTACTTGTTTCACTGAGATAAGATGGGAGGAAATTGAAGGAGCATGACTGGCCCATGCATCTAGCCAGTTCTCGAAGTCCTACCTACCTCTTACCTCACAGGCATACAGCGATGATTCACCATCAGCCAGGCAAATGTGAAAATTACTGCAGGCTTTTTCTGGAGCGCAGTTAATTGAGTGCTTGATGTTTGATAACTGTTTGCTTCCTTAGTTCTAAAAAAAGAAGAAGCCTCTGAGTTACATCAAAATGTCTTAGATGTGGAAATTTCTCTGCTAAATTTAAGGCTTGATCACTACAGTAGATGGGAAAAGCAGGATGTGGACCGCTCATTCAGTCATGTATCGTGTTAATTTAAGAATGACACACGCATAGCCCAGCCAGTTTTGGTCAGTTGGTCCAAAAGTGGTAGCAGGATAACAGCATGGTAGCTTGTTGGTCACTGGATGGTCTTTCCTGTTTGTTCTCCAGCCATGCGGGACCTGGAGCCGTTCCTGTTCAGAGCATGTATTTGTGTGAATTCCAAACGGTGCAACACTCTCAGATTGGAGAGGTGAAGAGTCCTCACAGATGGTTCCACAGATGGTTCTCATCAACGTAATTGTCTGACTGAATACAAGGATAATTTGTTGATGCCTCAGACCTAAACAACAACAAACATCCTTACTGTTTCCCTAAATAGAGTTTGGTCATTTCTCAATCTCTCCGACCCTCTGTGGTCTACACAGATCCTCTGTTCTGTACATGAAGATCCAAGTACGTGAAGCAAGCACTAATGCCTTAAAGAGGAGTGAAAAGCAATGGGGGGCGGGAGTTGTAAATAATTAAAAAAAATGCTGAGTGATGTTTTCCTCCTGCAGTGGAGGGTTTTCTTGGTGCAGTGCTTTACTATCTTATAGGCCCAGGCCTTGCTGTGGCATCTCAGGAGGGTGGATGGAGTTTTGCCATGCAACTCCGAATGGGTGGCTAC